TCAGGGGTGTGTATTCAAATAGATATTTCGGGATAAAATGTAATTGTATTTCTTTTGCTAGTTATAGAATTCTTATTTCGCAGACTATTATTCCTTAAAAATGGTAGACCATGCTCAGTTGTCTCCAGTTTGTAATGTAAGGTGTCTGAAGCTGGTCTTCTTTCTTTTTTCTTTGTGAGCGATATGACTCTACTGCCTGGATACTAGGAAGCTGGTTTTTCCGTTTTTATCTCCAAAAATAAATAGCTTTATTAATTGATATCTTGATGTTGCTGCACTTACATACGTTTTCCTGGTATGTAGTGAATAATTTTGATCTGTGTATTTGGGTGTTCCTTCATTTGTGAAAGTGTATTTTGTAAATCTGTCTTTGAATAATTTTGTTTTGAGTAGTAGTATTATTAAATACTTATTGAGCACCTAACTCTGTACCAGGCACTACGCAAGTCTCTGGGGAATATAGTGGTAAGTAAAGCAGTCATGGTCTCTGTCTCTCTGCGTTCACACACATCAGTCAGACCTAGGTTATATAAGTGCCCTTAGTTCATACTAATTATGTCTCATCATATTGTGTAGCAACTGCATTTCCATGTGTCATTCCGAGCCAAGATGTGAGCTTCTTGAAACTCAGGCACTATATTCTTCTTGAAACTCAGGCACAATAGTATATAATGCTGTTGGATTCCCTGACATATGGGTAAGATCTCAGTAAATTTGAGTAAATGGCCCAATGTTATTGAAATGCTGCTCCTGTTTCTTAATCTTCTTCCTAAATTTTGCTCTCTGCGTACCTAGTGTGATCTGTTCTTAACCTTTGCCCTTTTCCTCACCCCTTGCTTGTAATTAATTGTTCTATGGGCTACTCTTTGCCTTCTGTAGTATATCAACCCCTGCAACATTTTTCTACTTGATGCTCACTTTTCCAACTGCCATATCTTCTATGTACGTAATACATGTCTCCTTTTTAGACCATTGACTCTGCAATTCCAGCACAACTATTTCTGAAAACAAGGAACAGTATTGAAACATGATGTTTGATTTTATTCCATCTGTGTACTTGGTGATTTTATTCCTTTCACCTAGTGGCCAAATCAGAATCTACACCATGGCATAGACTTTTCCTGTCTGTAGCCAAAGCTTAGCATGTGTTGATATTACCTGATTAATCTTAATATTATTTCCCCATCTTTCTTTTAAGGGTCTGAATGTTGGTATTTTCGGATTAAATTTAGAAACTAGTCCTGCTTTGTGTCATTTTTGTCCTTAACCATGTATAAAAGCAACATACTAATGCTTATACTAACTGTAGATTTTAGTCTTATCATTATAGAGCTGTGTATTTATTGGCATAACATTAATTCTGTGGACGAAAACTATGTATAAGAATATTATCAGTAGTATTGACTGATTCTTGAACTCCTGGTTTCAAGTGATCCTCCAGCCTCTGCCTCCCAAAGCACTGGTATTACAGGTGTGCCCAGTCAGTATTGACTGATTCTAAAAGATTACTAAATTCCACTAAATTATAAGTAGTGTTTGCTGAGTAATAAATTTTTCTTAGATCTTATTTATTCAGTCAGCAGCAGTTAGTTTCCAAAGAGGCATCATCAGCAGGGGTTCTTAACTCTTTACAGAGTTGGGGTTACTGGCAAACTCATTTTTCTCATCAGTTTGGGAGTCAGAGAGACTTATGCAAATTCATTCCAGTCTGTTCTTTATTGTAATTACAGCTTAATTTTTTTATCTTCAATATGTTTTGTAATCATAGTTTATGCTTGCCATCACCGAAAATATTTACTAACTAGACTAATGAACCACATTGCCTTTTTTTTCTTTAAAGACCGTACCTTTAAAATATTGTCTATTTTGAGTTTCAAAATAAAAGTATCATCACATGGTAGCCTGTTTTCTATAAAATAATACAATTCAATAAAAAATGTTTGTTGAAAACCTGTTAATCTTGCTAATGAGCTTCAGTTCGAGTTAGTATTTGCTGATCTGTATCCTGTAGTGTTCAATCTCAGGATTTAATTTGAAGGGAATTAATACTAGGTTACCTCTTTATAAAGGTAGAAATCATAATGCTGTTTTGTTGTGTTTTTTTTTTTTTGAACTTTTTGTTTTTAAACCCTTCAAATTGCATATGTACAAACATTTTAACTTAAGAAAGTAGACTCAACTAATGTCTGAATATCCATAGTTCAGCCTTTGTCATGCCTTGCAAACCTGATTGGGTTAATGTGTGTTTTCAGGATTTTAAAATTATTTTTCTGGTGTGCCAATGTTTAACCTTGTACCATGTTATTGAAGTGAAAACAATTCAGTTTTGTTGTATTTTTCCTCTTGTTCTTAACAACATAATGCCATAGAGGACATAAAAACCTCTGCTCTATCCCTTGTGCCATGAGGTTCAGAGGACAAAAGACTTTTTTTTTTGCACCAAGCTAGAAGAGGGTAAGATATTAGAGGTGAGATTTGTTTTTTCTTTCTTTCTTTTTTTTTTTTTTTTTTTTGAGATGGGAATCTTGCTCTGTTGCCCAGGCTGGAGTGCAGTGGCTTAATCTTGGCTCACTGCAACCTCCACCTCCCAGGTTCGAGCAATTCTCTTACCTCAGCCTCCCGAGTAGCTGGTATTACAGGCGTCTGCCACCACTCCTAGCTAATTTTTGTATTTTTAGTAGAGATGGGGTTTCACCATGTTGGCCAGGCTGGTCTTGACCTCCTGACCTCAGGTGATCTGCCTGCCTCGGCCTCCCAAAGTGTTGGGATTATGGGCGTGAGCCACCATGCCCAGCCAAGATTTTTTTTTTTTTTTTAACCACTCTAGTTAGCTGTCCCTCTCTGAATATTGGATAGGAATGTAATCACATTTTCACTGTTTTCAAGTGTATTATACTACTGGCGGGTACACAATTTCCAATCATCTGTTAAGGAGAAACTAAGAACATTTGAAACTTTCACCAGCTTTCATTTTGAGGCGTTACAAGTTTTTGAAAAAAAAAACAAAACAAAACAAAAAACACCTGATGTTGAAGTTACTATGGTCCTAAGAAAAGCCCTACGTTTTGATTATTTGGATTATGTCTTCTGTCCTGAAAAGTAGCCATCTTACAGGGATTGCAAAGATCTAAGTCTTTCTGGTATACAAAGCTGGATGATTTTGAACTTGACACCAGGTAAGCCATTTCCCAGGGATTTATGAAGACTAATGAAAATACAATTATTATACTGGTAAAATGTTGCTATATAAGTAGGGTGATAGTTACTATTACTGATATTATAGGTATTTTTTTAAAATTCTGAAATGACTTTAGATACATTGCTCCCTGCTTGCAAGTCTTGAGTCCTCCTTTTTGCTTGCTTTCTGTCTTTTTGTTCATTCCCTTAGGTTTTAAGAATAGCTACAAAGTTTTGAAAATGCTTTATAGTTTGGCTCTTTTAAAGCTATAGGCTAAGAGTGTTGACACAGGAAGGTCTTCTCACATGATCCCGCTTTACCCATTAACGATGTCTATAATGCAGTATCATTGTTTCCTCCTCAAAGGAAGTGACTGATAGGGCCAGGAATAAATTACAATCTTAGTGATACAGAATCATTTTGTATCTGTTCTGAACATGATTTATGCTTGGTCCACAGTTAATTTTTATTTATTCTGTAAGTCCTTTTGAATAAATAAAAATGTTTATAATGGAAAAGATCTTGTAGAATAAAGGGAAAAGGAACTCGAGAGTTATTAATTGCAAATCAGAACTGCATTTCTTATTTTATTGGTATGCTTTCAACAGGTCCATAAAGTCACAACTATTTTTATAGTAATAGATTATGATTCGCCTTTTGTGCTCTCATTCTCTTGTGAATATACAGTCAAGTTTTCCAGAGATTATATTTTAATATGTGATGATATCACTGCCCTGACAGCTAATGGAACGTGTGCTTGTGTATTCTTGTTTTAAACATTTCTGAGTTTTGACATTTAATATGGTATATAGCAATAGATATGAACCAGATAAACAAAAGATCAGTAATGAGTTTAGAAGAACCCTGAGACCAAAGTTTGAGAACCATTTTTCTCTGGCATAGTTAAATTGGAGTTACAGACTTTTCCTTGTGATTTTGTGTTTGTTGTAGGGAACCATAACCTCTTCTGTTTCTGCTCTCTCAGGGAATAGAATGGGAGGCATTGTTTTAAGTCTTGCTCTGTCCCCTAGGCTAGAGTGCAGTGGCACAATCAAAGCTCACTGCATGGTCATAGCTCATTGCAGCCTTGAAATCCTGGGCTCAAGTGAACCTCCTGCCTCAGCCTCCCCAGTAGCTGGGACTACAGGCATGTGCCACCATCCCCAGCTAATTTTTAAAATTTTTTGTAGAGATGGATTCTTCTGCGTTACCCAGACTGGTCTCAAACTCCTGACCTCAGGCAACCCTCCCTGCCTCAGCCTCCCAAAGTGCTGGGATTATAGGTGTGAGCCACCATGCCTAGCTTAAAATGTGAATTTTAAGTGTGATTGGTGCAATTCAGGAAGGTGGCTCTTAACAGTTCTTGCTTAAAGGAAGAAAGCTGAAAATAAAGAGACAGAGACCTTTCTTTTTAACAATACTGGCCAGAATTACTATCTTTTGATGTACTCTCATCACTGGAAAGGCCCAAGCATAAATCAGACAACTATTGAGAGTATTTTTAAAGAAGATTATAGTTCAGATAGGGGACTATACTACTACAAGGAATCTAATAATACAAAGTTCCTTTAAAACACACTTAAAATCCTGTAATTTTGGGGCTGGAACCACTTTGGCTGCATGTAAATTTTAACAATAACAAATAAAGTGGTGTTCTTGTTCATAGGTGTCACCCAGTTAAATGCTTTCCCATTACATCTTTTAACAAATTAAAATGAATTATAAAAATAGACTTTCTAATTTGTTAGCCCTGTTTCTTTCTCCCATTAAAATGATATATTTAACTTGCTTACTACTTTTTTCCCTATGTATTTTATTTCAGTTGGTCGCATTATGTTTCAGCTCTTCTCAGACATATGTCCAAAAACATGCAAAAACTTCCTTTGCTTGTGCTCAGGTAAGTGAATTAATTATTCCGATGAGAAGCTGTGTCTTACAGTTTTACCGTGCTGAACAGAATAGATATTTTCCTGAAATTATAATGGACTTGTGAAATTAGTTTTCTGAATTAAAAAAAAAAAAAAAGAGTTACTTATACTGACTTCTATATGAAATCAGGGAAGCATTTCTTAAGGGGAAGATATTAGAAAGGAGTGATCTCAAAAATGAAAAAGAGTAAGAATCTACATTATGTAATGGAATCTTCTCTATACATTTTAGTTTATAAAATAATAGCACACATTCAAAACTGATTTTATGAAATTTTATGAATTTCACTACTTTGAAAAAATTTAGTATTCCAAATTTTACAATAAATTTTAAATAAATAGAAAAAATGGGGAGGGAAACATCTATAATGTTACTTTAAAATTAGAACACACTGGCCGGGCGTGGTGGCTCAAGCCTGTAATCCCAGCGCTTTGGGAGGCCGAGGCAGGCGGATCACCTGAGGTCAGGAGTTCAAGACCAGCCTGGCCAACATGGTGAAACCCTGTCTCTAATAAAATTACAAAAATTAGCCGGGCGTGGTGGCAGGCGCCTGTAATCCTAGCTACTCGGGAGGCTGAGGCAAGAAAATCACTTGATCCCGGGAGGCAGAGCTTGCAGTGAGCCGAGATTGCGCCGTTGCACTCCAGCCTGGGGGACAAGAGCCAGACTTCGTCTCAAAAAAAATAAAATAAAAATTAGAACACACTGAAATTTTAAATTCTTACTTGGATACACTACGCAATTTTTGCCCTAACTCCTTAATTTTGTTGTTTGTTTATTTTGAGACGGAGTCTGACTTGTCTCCAAAACAGACTGGAGTGCAGTGGTGTGATCTCAGCTCACTACAACCTCCACCTCCCAGATTCAAGTGATTCTCCTGCCTCAGCCTCCTGAGTAGCTGGGACTACAGGCCTGCGCCACCACACCCGGCTAATTTTTGTTTTTTTTGTTTTAGAGGCAGGATTTCACCCTGTCGGCCAGGCTGGTTTCAAACTCCTGACCTCAAGTGATCTGCCTACCTCGGCCTCCCAAAATGTTAGGGTTACAGGCGTGAGCCACTGTGCCTGACCTCGTTGTTTAACTAGAGTGACAAGTGTGTCTTATATTATGTCCTATAGCATGTAGAGTCTGTACCACACAATTTTACATTTACGTGCTGCTTTGTATTATTTATTTTGGTTTGCATGCATGTGTGTATGTTAAATTATCATGTCATCTACTTATATCTCTTCCAGTGCCCAGCAAGATTTGACACAGGATTAATTGGTTTGTTCTTTCTATGGAAGGATGTATGTATAATTAAATTTCATTTCTTTTTTTTTTTCCAGGAGAGAAAGGCCTTGGGAAAACAACTGGGAAGAAGTTATGTTATAAAGGTTCTACGTTCCATCGTGTGGTTAAAAACTTTATGATTCAGGGTGGGGACTTCAGTGAAGGTAGAGCTAAAAGTTGTGTTCCTAATAACTCCATCTATCAGTTTCTAAAGTATTTCATTATTACTCTTAGTTCTAAATATTGTGTCAATTACAGTATGATATAAAATGTGGTCAGTGAGTACTTGTTGGATGAGTGAATATTATAGATCCAGAATGTGTGAAAAAGCAAAATACCACGTAAGAAATTTTATCTTGTTTTTATGCAGTTTATTAATATTATAGTTACTTAGTGAATTCCTTTACAATGAATGCCAAAGTACTGTCTGATTGCTTTTGTTCTAGAATGTTTTTGATGTTGTTACTGTTTGAAATAAGTGGATTGTGAAGATGGCTTTTTTTATGGTATTTATTGTAATGGGATTTGACATATATTTTAAAGATGAAGTTAATTGAGGACTCTGAGAATTTTGATTATTGCAGCAATTATAACATTCCAAGGTTTCCTTCAGCAAATTGAAGCTATCAAAAATGATTTATGTGTTAGTATATTTTTAATGTTCATTATGGCTTAATGTAACTCATTACTTGCAGGTAATGGAAAAGGTGGAGAATCAATTTATGGTGGATATTTTAAAGGTAAGGCTTATTTTACCGTCTTTTGTTTCAGTTCTGATATTAAAGCAAGTTTGATCATATACTTTTAATGAGAAGAGGTTTACTTATAGTTCACTTTTTGCATGAAACTAATGCTGCATGAAAATACTTTATTTGCATGAATTTGGGGATAAATTATATTGTAATATATAATTTTTAATTGACAAGATTAATTAAGGCTAACTTTATGGTTAAACATGACTTTCAGCATGGAGGTTAGGCAACTATATACATGAAAACTCCTATCTTCCTGCCTAAAACTGTCAACATATTCTTTTGTTTATAGAGAATGTGGTCTTTTGCAAAATGAAAAGGTAAGAGAACGAAGCTCAGTAACACAAACTCCAATTCTGTTCCCTTGCACCCTTCCTAATAAATTTATGGACAGTCTGGGTCAGGTTGTGGCTGGATTTCTATATTGCTTGAAGACTTGGAAAATTCTGTGTATTATTTTATACATACTTCTGTATCTTTTCATTTCCCAATGGGTTATTAATTTCACATCAGGGAAAAGAGTCTAGTTGTGGAATTTTTTTTCCCCTAAACCAAGCAATTTCTTTGAATAAAAGTTGAATTTTCTCCTTTTTCAAAGGTTTGTATGTTTTCTTTTGTATATTAGAACTATGACTGTGTTTATTCTTATAATAGTAGCATCTGCATAAATCTAACTATTGCACTTGCCCCAAAAAGCCTTAGAAAAGTCAGTTGCAGAGGTTTGTAATGAAATCTAATATTACTAGGTTTTAACGCTATAATAGCTTCAGTGTTATAATAGTCTTTTATATTTCCTTTGGGGGAAAATGGATTACTACTCTTTTTCAGAAGCCTGTTCCCAAGGTAATCACTTTTTAAAGTTTTCTATGTTTCTGTTTGTTCTGAAGAAGATTTGTTTGTATGAATGTTAAAAGGACATTTAAATTAGTTTTCAAGGATATTCCTGCTGGAATTAAAATAACTCTAAGTGATCTTTATCACAGATTTTTTTTCCTTTGAACTAGTAGGAAACAGCTGTTTAGCTGGTTCTATTATGTAGCAATTTAAAACTAATGCTTTAGGCCACTTTGTGGTTGTTCTCTGTGGCAGATACTTTTGTACCTTAAAATTGTATTTTGCTATTTAAATTTTTGTTTCACAGGGCTTTCCTGCTTAGATAATTTTGTGATACAATTGAGTATACACATACTTAATTTAGATATGTTCTTGTAACTTACTATAACATAATTTTTTTGGTCTCATAGTCTAGCTTCAATTCAGTTGAATAATAAATTTACTGTATAAAAATTAAACACCTAAAAAGATTATTAAACTTCTTCCATGTATAGTGCATTAGGCAAGCTAATTGGAAATTTGGAGGAAGTAAGCTAGAGATTTTTCTAAAATTTTACTAGTTTTCCCTGAAAGTTAATAATTTAAATATCATTTAGCCAAAGTGTATTACTACTAAAAGTGACTGTTCCTTAGCCAAAGTGTATTACTACTAAAAGTGACTGTTCTAAGGCTGTTTGTATAAAGTATTAAATATATGTTCTTTTCCTCAAGGCTTTAATTAGTATCTTTTGGCCTTTTTATGCTTTTGTTATTTGATTAGCTTAAATTTTTCTTTTCTGAGTGTTCAGTCAAGTTATCTGTACTGACCAGAAGAGGAATTTCATCTTTTGCTTTCTATTTATTACTTGAACATTACTTTAAAGTGACTTATAATTGGAGACTGACAAATTTGTGTTTTCTTCAAACAGATGAAAACTTTATTCTCAAACATGACAGAGCGTTCCTTTTGTCAATGGCAAATCGAGGGAAACATACCAATGGTTCCCAGTTTTTCATGTGAGTAGGCATAATTCAGAGATGAGCTTTTCTTAAACAGAGAAGCGCTGTTCATAAGAAAGATGGTATAGTTAAACCAAGTTTAATGCTAAAATTCTGTCAGCTTTATTTTTATTATTAATTTCTAATATCATTGAAACTTAGAACGTCTAACAACTGCCTCAGCATTCAGCATGTATCCTGGATTGGAAGAATGGGACTTAAAAAACTTAAAATTTACACATTGTTTTCAAAATATGCCGTCATCTTCAAAAAAGATGACGGCATATTTAAGCCCCTGTTAAATTTGAGTGCTCACTTACCAAAACTAGATTGGAACATAAACTATTGATGAACATGTAAAAATTGTTCATAGTAGCGGATTCAGTTATTGTACCCCCTCAGCAGGGAAAGCAGTTTGAGTAAACCATTGCATGGTTGTTTTTTCCTCTTACTGTTGCTCTTTGAGGCAATTTTGAGAGAGGTACTGTTATTTTCTGATGTTATATAGAGATAGGTGACCTGCTGTTGAGCATACATTTTAGAAAACTCAAATTTTATGAGGTCTCCATGCATAATTGAAATAACCCATTGTTGCTATCATTTCCACCAAAATTTATGAGATTGTCACTCAGGAAACTTAAGAATACTAAATTTGCTTTTGAAAAAGCAAATATATTTACACGTATGTGCATTGCACAACCAAAAACTTACCTTTTTCTTATCTGAAAATTCTAAATAAATCCTTTGGCATACTTTCAGTTATTTTCTTATCTAAAGCTGCTTCAAAACCTATTTTTATCATAATTCTGTCATATAAAATGTGAAAGATAACTGTCCAGCAGGAGGGTTATTGTTTTTGATTGGAAGTGAATCTCAGTTGTGCTATGTATGTTGGAGAAATATTTCATTAATGATTTATTGAAAACATTTTCTTTGTCATCTTTCTGAATGAATGAGTATGAATGGCGCTTCCCTGTCTTTAAAGGAGTATGTTACTGACATATAAAACTCAAATGTTAAATTTTTCTGAAAAATATATTTCTACATGATCTGATAAAGTTCAGATAAGGGGCATTCTATTCCTAAGAATGTCCTAAAAATGGAAAACTGATAAAAAGATTATGCTTAGAATTATACACGTAAAAGACCTACAACAGTTGTTCTCTTATCTTGTTTTGATCCCATAGGTTATTTGTTATTACTTTTCTTTAATAGAGTGATTTTCTATTCTTAACCTTCTTAAGAGCCAATACAAAGCAGAAAGAAATATTTTCAGAAAGACTTTTTAATAGTAACTTAATGTAAAAATTGTTTATCCTTTGGTTGAGGTTTCCCATTTCCATTTTTAAGCTTATCTGAACTGTGAACATGAAAAACATAATGATTCATTGGTCAAGAAGCTACTATTTGAGGGCTCTAAAGTTTCTTTTAGATTTCCTTTTTTATATCAGTACAATTAAAATTTATCAAGTAGCAGCAGCTTCTTGATATTGTTATATACATTAGCTTGTTCATAAAATGTTAGAGTTAAAACTCATTAAAAATGCTATCGTTAAACATACACTAATTAAAATTCAGTATACGAAATTCTCCCTTCAAAAACATCTTATTTTTATTTTATTTAGTATTTGCTTAAGTATTTTCTAGGAATATCTAGTAAAGGCCTTTACTGTTTTCTACATGGCCTAATTTTATATTGGACTACAATTTTTGAGGAGGAATGCCAAATAAACAATTTTAAATCAATAAATTGCAATTACAATTTTTACACTTATTTTCAAAGTTAATTTACTTTAGATGGTAGTAAAATCACTGTGAACTTCTGATTGAAAGAAAATTTTTTACTTTTAGTTTGAAATTTCCTTCTAGAAAGGGGTTTGCAGTCCCTTTGCAAAGGAGTAAGCAATCTTGGAAGTAATTGACTATTTAATCCTCCTGTATTTTTTCTAAAGATTTTTGTGTCTGTATACTTTCTTTATGCTGGCTAGAAAGATCAATTCTCAAGAGTTGCAGGATAAAATCAAATTAACTTTCATGTTTCAGAACTAAAACATATACTTGCATTTATGGGAAGGATAGGTAAAAATGGAGATGGTGGCTGATGAAAGAAAAATCTTTGAAACTATGTTTTTACAAGCCTTTTGGAGTTGAAAGTATTAAAATATGGTACGCTGTTTTCAGGTTATGTATATGATCACAGATAATAGCTCTGATGGTCACAGAGCTTGCTGATGGCTTCCAAAGGATGGCTCCTGCCTTTTACCCTGTTACCACAGCTCCTCATATGGCACCTTGAGTGTCAGTTCTGGAATCTGAAAAAGAAAGGATAGTGTAAGAACGGTGGTAAAATAAAAAGAACTGTCTTTATAGTTCCTGCTTTATGAGCTCAATAAGGATTTTTAATACATCATTGCAAAATTGTTTTTGTAGTTTTTGTTACGAATCTGTTACTCTGCAATTCCTAAAGAGTAGATTTGGTGCTGTTAGTGTGGGTATTTGCAAAACATCCCTCAAGGATTCTTGTGTTTTGTGCATTAACTACTGTCTTCATTACTTACACATTTAAAAACTCCCCCTTCCTTAGGCATGTGTCATTTTTATTCAACATAATTCTGCTTATATTGCTTTCTTTGGCTGGAACAATTATATACATAATGAAAATCAGATTTTCTTCTATAAATCTATTTGTAATTTTTACAGTAACTTTATTTCTACTACTGTATTTGTTATAATGATTTTGCTCTCGGGGGTCTATATAGAAGAAAACTTGATTCTTTTTGGAATAGTACTGCTCAAGAAATGTGGAAAAAGTGGTATATGGCACTATCCCCTTGAATCACTAAGGAAACAGTGGTTTTATTTTGAACGTTTTTGAAGGAATTCAAAGACTTGGAACTAAAGCTGCCAGGTTAATTTGGTATTTATTTTGTCCTTTGTATTCTTATTTATTTTTTAGATTAAAGAATAGGAAGAAACCACAATAAAAACTAGAATTATAGAGTCATAGAATGGAAAGGGATTTAGAGATTATCTAGTCCAACCTTTTCATTCTGTAGATTATGCTAAATTCTTGAAAAAGCATGTAAAGTCCAGGTTATAGAAATTTTACTTATAATCTGGAAGAAACTGATAGCTAGAAAAAGAATCCTGCACACTTATTCATATTATTAATGCCTTTACTATAAATTTAAGCTTATTTAAGCTCAAAATTTTATTAACCACTCTGCTCTGGATTTATTTTAGTTAAGGATTAGAAGCATCAAGCATTTTGCTGGAAAACAAAATGATATTTGGGGAAACATTCTTTCCCCTTTTGCTGTTAGTGATAGCTTATTAATTCTGACTGTAATTGTCATTGTCTTTATATACATTAATAAAAAAGACAAAGATGTTGTATAAAATAGTCATGAAAAAGATTAAGTAAATAGTTTATAGCTTTGTAGTAAGTAACTTTTGGGATAGGACACTAATATAGCTGTCAGGAAACCTTGATTTTAGTTTTGTATGTACCTTGAGTTAGTTTTTCTTAAACATTGGTATGAAAATATGGATGTAAAAGGAAGAAGGTGTTTTGTAGGGTATTCCTAAGTTTCTGAATGTGTGGAATGATTTGTGTGCAAACATTGTCTTGCCTAATGGAAATAGTCATAATTGCCTAGTTTTCTTTAGTCTGAAAAATGTCTTAAAGAAGTATTGGGCTCATCTTAAATCAAGAGCAACAGAAGTCTCTTCATCAGCTGCTGTTAGAACATGAGTCTGCACAGCCGTAGAGTAGGTCTGCAGAGCCTGCAAGAACAGTTCCTGTCACTGGCCACTGTCAGTGGTTATTAATAATTATAACAATGTAAGAAAACAAGATAATGTAGAAGAGTCAAACTTTGAACTTTAAACAAAACATGTTTGCTACATTTTAGCAGTCATAAATAGGGCAATGGTGGGGGCGGGGCATAAGGAGTTTTAGAATATGTTTTATGTCATTTAGGAATCTGACTTGCAAGTACCTAAATGGGAGAGGAGTGCTGATTATTGCAAAGTAGTGGAGCAAAGAGAGTTGAGGAGTGGTTGGTTTCAAGGGGTTTGTAAAGCTATGTTGACATTTTGGGTAATAAAACTAGATTCGGGGTAGAAATGCTTTTTCTACCCACATATTCATAAATTTATGTAAGAGGAAATGCTAGTAAGTGTTAATAACCTGAGAAGTTCTAGCTTTTTCCTTCCTTTCTTTTGGGGTAATACCTTCATATGTTAACTTCAGATTTTTTCATGAGCTAAGATGTTTGTGAAACTTAGCCATAAACCAAATTCTCTGAATGTCAAGTGTCATCCCTAACATCCAGGCTTAATAACTTAATGTTTATGTAACTTATGTACTAGCAATGTGGAAGAAATTTTTTATCTAGTAATGTTTGGTGTGTATTACCTTAACATTAGTGCTGATTTTTAGAAAGCACTTCTATTTTGGTGCCTTTTGGAACACATGGGTAGAGCGTTGTCAAGTGGCTTGGTTAGTTTCCATTACCCTTGTACAAGTGTTGTCATTCTGTACAATTTGGTGCCTCTTCCCTGGCAGCGTGATAGTTTCAGGAGTTGAAGGGAAAGCATCGCATGTTAAAAGCTAAAGTGGACAGAAGTTATCTTCATTTCCCTCTTCCATACTACTTTACACCTACAGTCACTTATTTGTTTTTTTTTGCAACATTCATTGAAAACTCCACATTATTTCAACCATTATGTTCTTTTTTGACACTTATTCATGTTGCCAATGCCTTTATGATAAATTTAAGCTTATTTTTAAATATTTCAAGATTTATTACATTCAAAACTCTTATAGAGCATTTTGTTCATGGTATAATAGTATTTTGATCTGAGTAGTAATAGATTTATTTGTTTAAATACAGATAAAAATTAGTGTGTGTTCTCCGAAAAAAATTCTTCATAATGGGGAAAATCAGAGATTAGACAGGAAAAGAAGATATGGTGGCTAAGATTTGACTGCACTTACGCTTTCATCTCTCTTGCCTTTTTATTCTCTGAGAAGGTCCCTGAAATTGTATTTAGTTATGCTACTTTATTATTATGTTCAGTGACTTAACTTCAGTGTGCATCTAATGTCGCTGAACAGTAACTAGGGTCCATACATTTGCTCGTTAACTTCTGAAAGTAGTCTGTTGTGGTATGTCACCAAACAAAGGTTTCAAATGTAGAAGCATGGAAGATTCTTTAACTGTTTGATGTGAGTTAGTTAAAAGTTCCTTGAAATTTTGTTTTGGATGATCTTAACTCACTTTTTTCTAATGAAATTTTTGCTTTCAACTGGTAGTAACTGCTCCTGGGCATTCAGATTTTTTATATCTATGTATGTATTCAAGATGCACTATTCTCTTTTGAGAAAATATTGTCTTAGCTAATTTCTGGGATTTGTGAAAGGAAATGTAATATGTTAATAGCTATTATTGGCACTCTGTGTTACAATGTTAAGGATCTAAATAGATTCCCACTTAGCCACAATGCTTTTCTTAAGCATAATTCATCTCTATGTAAATATCCCATATGAAAGAAAATTTAGAGCCCTCCATTTAAAAAAGCTTTCTTGCTCTGCATAAAACTTGAAAATATTTAATTTCAAAGTTATATTGATATTAAAACATAGATTCAGTCTTGTCTTAAAAGTGTATTACAATTTATTTCTTGCCATTTTTGTGTAAAATTTACAGAAAGAGTGTTACACCGTGCGCTCCAAAGGTAATGTCTCATTACTCTAAGGCTCTCTCTCTTTCTTTGCCTTTATCTCTTTAATTCTGTTGTTATGTGCATTGAAACATTTTAAGAAAAAAAAAAACAACTTTCTGCTTTATCTGTATAGCAGCAGTACATGTAAAACAAGTGTGTTTTATTTTTCATGTTTAATCCTGGGAACTGTATTTTAACTTCAGTGGCTCGTTTCCACCAAGTTCCTGTACATCTTCTGTTGGGGGAGTGGGGTTATAGTTTATAGTATGGTTTTAGTTCTCATTTCAGTGTGGAATTAGTCATTTCTGTATAAGGGCAAAAGCTTATCTGATAACGGTATAAAACTATAGATTGGTTTTGGAGTAGCAGTGACACTGTCAATTTCTAGGATTTATAAGGCTTAAACACCTTGTACACATGTTTTTTAAAGTAGATTCAGGGGTCGGGGAAACTGAAAAATCACTGTCTCTAAGTAAAAGAGAAAATAGAAATGTATAAATATTGAAAGGTTTTATAATTTGAAATGTTCTTTGTGGTTTTTTCTTTTTTAGGTATGTTTTCATAAGCATATATAAATTTTAAACATTTTTCATAGCCTCTGACCTTAACTTACTAAGCATGTGTCACCATTGCACAACTCTTTAAACAGCTGCTTTTAAGATCAATGCAATTTTTTTTTCCATTGAAAGTTCTGAAAGATTAAGAATTAGTGAGATGAACTCTCTGCTTCTTTTAGTAGAATTGAATAGTCTGGACTGTGCATATTAGTTCTCTCTGCCCTTTTGTAACCCTCTTTGGCTAATGTCCTCTGTTCATCCATGTATTAGCCAAGTGCCAGTAACGCTGCTTTACATTGGGATTTCTACTCCTGGAATGTAGGTTGAGAACCCCAAAGGGCTTCTTTTTGTTAAATATTTTTAGTATTCTTAATATGTAATTTAATCCAATTAAAGTACAAACTTATATTTCTGTATCTTGAGTTGCAGATGCAAGTCATGAACTTAAATCATTCACATCAGATTTAGGCACCATGGGCAGGCTGAGTTGTCCTTGAAAGAGTCATTCCTGTCTTCATTTGTTTTCTGCACTACTACAATAAAGGACCAAGTTTGCCTATTCTTGGCAGTTTTCATTTGAACGAAAAACTAAATTTGAATGTCATAAAGATAGCTATTCCATCCTCAAATTGAATCCCAAGTAGTATGTTGCTGCATCACTACGTTACTCTGGAATGTTTTATTTCACCATTTTCTCCAAAGGTTTGCCATAAGGTGGTTTTTACAGCCTTTCTGTTAGCCAGGATGGCAAATTGAATTGGGCTCTTTATGTTTTAAGTAAAATTTGCAGGCTTTCCCCAATACTACAGGATCTGTGAGTTATGGGAGAAAGGATCAAGGAAGGAGAAGGAATGTATCTAATCTGGAAACCATACATTGTTTTTACTTCTACATATTTGGGGCTGATCCCTTACATTGTAGAAAAATTTACTTTTTTAAAAGCACTCTTGGCTGGGCGTGGTGGCTCACGCCTATAATCCCAGCACTTTGAGAGGCCGAGGCAGGCAGATCACCTGAGGTCAGGAGTTTGAGACCAGCCTGGCCAACATGGTGAAATCCCGTCCTACTAAAAATACAGAAATTAGCCGGGCCTGGTGGCGCATGCCTGTAATCCTATCTACTCAGTAGGCTGAGGCAGGAGAATCACTTGAATCTGGGAGGTAGAGGTTGGAGTGAGCTGAGATCGCGCCATCGCACTCCAGCCTGGGCAACAGAGTGAGACTCCATCTCAAAATAAACAAATAAAAATAGAAGTACCCTTTACGTCTTTCGTGTAATAGAATCACTAGCTTCTGTACAAATTTCTTGTCTTTAGTGTACTCTGGTAAAGTTTTATAATTAAAGCACATTTCTATCTTGAAGTTACCATCCAAGGTGGTTTCTGGATGCTAGTTTAATGGTTTAAACACTAGTGGCTCATTAATTCACTAGATAGTTTTTGTTTTGTTTTCTTTTTGCTGGCTGTTTTTTATTTTTATAATTACATTGGCGTGAATTTCCACTTTTCAATCTTCTAAGGAATATTTGAGATTTGTGCTTTTAAAACTTGATATTTTCTTTAAAATTCTGGAACTTCTTAAGTTGACATTTTAATTTTTTTAAATTAAATTCTGTAGTGCTCTTACAGAACTGAATATTCTTAATGTAAGTATAAGCGTTACAAATCCTTGTACAATAAATATTTTTAGCATTGTTACGAAGGTTAAAAACTGGGTTTTGTTCACTTACATATCTTAAAATTGCCTGAAAATGAATACAAAAATTTATGTGGGAGCTTCTAGTACAGTTGACTGCTTTAACATGGCCTGACATCTAGTGATATTTTTCTCTTTCAAATTTTCTGTCTCATATATATCTGTTTCTCATTCTTATAAATCAAGATGCTTGTGGTATATAATTCTGGGTCTAATTATCTGCTTTTGAATTTTTTCTACTGCAATTCATATAATGTGAAGATCTGTGAAAATGCTATGGGAAAACTAGCTTGGGTTCAAAATATCTTAACCAAATGTACCCTGTAGGCTTCCCAAGAGTGACTGTCTGACAGTTGGTGACTGTAGAAGAAGCCAGTTGGGTGTTTTCTGGGCCATGGAAATTTAAAATGTCTGTGATGTTACCCATCATTACTTTGCTGTCAGAAGGGATGGCAGATTGAAGCTTTTCTCCCTATCGCATTTTCGGAGTTGCTGTGTCAGAGCTTCACCTTGGGTGAAGAAAGATGGGCAGGAATTCTGGAAACAGAACTCCTAAGACCTACCTCTGTCTTGCCTGCCTAAAAATATGCACTGACTCAGTATGAGAAATAACAAATAAGAAAACATTTAAGTGTGTGAGGCAAATGTTAATCACACTTTCTTTCCATAGGGCAAATAAGAGGTGCTTTTCTTATTTAATTATGCTGATAAATTTTGAGAGCTTTTTTTTAAAGTGTTTTGTTTTGTTGTTTTGGATTTGAGAGTAACTTTAATTTTTATGTGTATTCATGCTGTGTATTTATGGCTATAAGTCAAATCAAACTGATTTCATATATATACATATATATAATCTAATAGAGATGATTGTAATTCATTATAATTTTGAGTTTTTTAAATTAGTAAAATGGCTACTATTGCTGTTTTGGGGTTTTTAAGGTTAGATGTATATCATGTTTAACTTTTTCCCCTATCTTTTTATCTTTACTTCTTTGTTCTCTACATGCTGTGTTTAAACCTTTCTGCTCTCTTCACCTGAACACATCGTGTTTGACATCATCTTTATGTTGGTGTTTATTACATAGTACCACAAAGCCTGCTCCACACCTGGATGGGTAAGAGTTACATTCTTACTACATTGGGGAAGTGTTTGGGTGGCCAGCCATAAAGAGAGAGTGGACCATGGTTGAGCCCTCAAGGGAGCCCTCTTAATGGCTGGCTTAATCTCATAGCCAAACTATTCTTTAGCATCACAGAATATAGTCGTTTTGAAACCCCATGGCTCTCATGTCACTGAAGGAGTTAATCTGTGCTCAGGGATGGCCTTCTCAGCAATATAATTCTTTTTTTTTTTTCTCTTTTCCAAAATGGGTCAGGTAGTAAGCAGTACAATTCGAGATGTCCCTGTAAGGAAAGTTTCCAAGTACCAAGTGCAAGTGAAGTCTGAATGTTACAGAATCTTTATCCTAAAATGGTTAAGAACCATTGTATTAAAGGCAGAAAACCGAAGCCCAGTTTGCATAATGGTTTCCTTTTATGAAGCAGATTTCAAGTTCTCATTCCATTCTAGTTGCTTCCTACAACAGACAGTTTGGTTTTATTTTCAGGTCTGTGGACATGTCATTGATTACAGTTAATTGTCTTGATTACTGTTTATAGCTTAATTATCATCAAACCAATTGTTTCTTGAATTTGTATTATGACAGGGTGCATGTCGTCTTTGGACTGGTTATTTCTGGTTTTGAAGTAATCGAACAAATTGAAAATCTGAAAACCGATGCTGCAAGCAGACCATATGCAGATGTGCGAGTTATTGACTGTGGAGTACTTGCCACAAAATCAATAAAAGATGGTAAGAACTGTTTTGACAGTAGATGAAGCTGAGCCACAGGTACAGCATTGTTGAAGACTGTAACTAGATTTGAGTAGTGGAATTAGTGGCATAGCAATAGCCCTTGGTGCCTCTGAATCATACCTTAAACATTTAATCTTTTAGCATATCTTGTCAAATCTTACTTTTTCTTACTTCCCTTGCCACCAGCCTGATCCAAACCACCAGTATTTTGTATCTGGATTATTGCCGTAGCGTTGTAACTGTTTACCTTGCCTCTGTCCTATAATCTTTTGTCAGCAGCAGTAGCCTCCTAACTGGTCTCATTGCTTATATCCTAGGCCCGCTATGGTCTGTTCTTAACAGCAACCAGAGTGATCCCTTTGAACCATAGTTTGCTTTCGTGTCACGCCTGCACAGAACCCTCTAAGGACTCCCTTCTTCAGTCATCCAAAGCAGAAGTCTTTACGGTGGTCTCTAAGGCCCTGGCTGGTCCAGCTGTCTGCTGTCTCTTTAAACTCTTCCCTTATTCATTGCCTTCCAGGCACATTGACCTTTTTTCAGACATGCCAACCACTCAGGTTCTTTGTGCTGCCTATTCTCTTTGTCCGGAACAGCCTTCGTTAAGATATCTGCATGACACCGTCCCTTGCTCCTTTAAGTCTTTGTTCAAATGTTGTGTTAAACTACCCTAATCTTCCTATTCCCTTTACACTGCTTTGTTTTTCTGTCTTAGCACTGATCATTTGTCATTCAATTCTTTTTTTTTTTTTTTTTGAGACAAGAGTCTTGCTCTGTTGCCCAGGCTGGAGTGCAGTGGCACTGTCTCGGCTCACTGCAACCTCCACCTCCTGGGTTCAAGTGATTCTCCTGCCTCAGCCTCTGGAGTAGCTGGGATTATAGGCATGCACCACCATGCCTGGCTAATTTTTGTTATTTTTAGTAGAGACATGGTTTCACCATGTTGGCCAGGCTGGTCTAGAACTCCTGACCTCAAGTGATTTGCTCACCTTGGCCTCCCACAGTGCTGGGATTACAGATACGAGTTGCTGCACCAGTCCTATTTCTTGTTATTTGACCCCACCAGAATATAGGCTTCATAAAGACAAGGGAGTTATTTCCTTACAATCTTGCCAGTAATTTTATTATAAACTTGAAAAAAGCTGTCTATACTTAATTTTTTGTTTGCTGTATGTAAAGCATATTTTATGATATTCAGTAAACACATTTTTTACTCTGAAAGGTAGGCACTGAAGTTTAGTACTAATGTTTTTATTAATGTTTCTTAAAAGTTTTTGAGAAAAAAAGGAAGAAACCAACTCATTCAGAAGACTCGGATTCCTCTTCCAATTCCTCTTCCTCTTCAGAATCATCTTCAGAAAGTGAAATTGAACATGAGAGAAGCAGAAGGAGGAAACATAAGAGGAGGCCAAAAGTTAAACGTTCTAAAAAGAGGCGAAAGGAAGCAAGCAGTTCAGAAGAACCAAGGAATAAACATGTAATGAATCCAAAAGGGTATGTGTAAAACACCAGTGTACTCTTACCTAAAAAACTCTCTGGAATGGGAAAAGTATGTATAATTCTATAAACTCAATTTTATTACCTGTTACTGAAAAAGGATAGCATTTTTTAAACTTTATCTAGATTGAAATCTGGCAAATCTAGGAGTAGGTAGCATAGGCATTTCATCTCCAAGATTTGTGTGTTTTCAGTTTTCAGGTCAAAATAGTCCTAAGAATTCTTTTTTTTTTTTGAGACGGAGTCTCGCTCTGTTGCCCAGGCTGGATGGAGCGCAGTGGTACGATCTCGGCTCACCGCAAGCTCTGCCTCCTGGGTTCACGCCATTCTCCTGCCTCAGCCTCCCAAGTAGCTGGGACTACAGGCCACCATGCCCGGCTAATTTTTGTATTTTTAGTAGAGATGGAGTTTCACTGTGTTAGCCAGGATGGTCTCGATCTCCTGACCTTGTGATCTGCCTGCCTTGGCCTCCCAAAGTGCTGGGATTACAGGCGTGAGCCACCGCCCCCGGCCTTTTTCTTTTTTTCTTTTTTTTTTTATTTAAGAGATAGGGTCTTGCTCTGTTACCTAGGCTGGAATACAGTGGCACAATTATAGCTCACTGCATCCTCCACCTCCTGGGCTCAAGAGATCTTTCTGCATCAGCCTCCTGAGTAGCTAGGACTACAGGCGGGTACCACTATGTCTGGCTAATTTTTAAATTTTTTGTAGAGACAGGGTCTTCCACTATGTTGAACAGGCTGGTCTCTGACTCCTGGCCTCAAGCAATCCTCCCACCTAAGACCCCTAAAGTACTGGGAATACAGGTGTGAGCCACAATGTCTGACCTCCTGGAACTCTTAAAATAAAAAAGTTAGGATCATTTACCAATTTTCCTATCAAAATGCTAGTCTTTGGGTTTTTCACTGGGTTGATATATTTTCTCTTTGTGAAAATCATATAACTCTTTTGAGTGAGACTTGTAAGCTATCATCAATTATGCTGTTGTTTCAGTGTCTAATTTTATGTGCTTTTATTATGAAATGCAAACATTATACATTTTAATCAGTGACTTGGTTTGTTCAAAGTCACTCTGAGAGGAGTGATACCAATGAAAAAAGGTCAGTTGATTCCAGTGCTAAAAGGGAAAAACCTGTGGTCCGCCCAGAAGAGATTCCTCCAGTGCCTGAGAACCGATTTTTACTGAGAAGAGATATGCCTGTTGTTACTGCAGAACCTGAACCGTAAGTAGGATGACTATACTATATATTTTTATTTCTCTGAGACACAGTTCTGTCACCTCATTGCATTCCACACTCATGTATGGAACATGATCCATGTTTGAAGCACATTGAAAGATACTATGGGAGTATTAGATTAATGAATGATATGTAGGAAATATGGGAGATACCAGATTATTGAGTGATATGTACCGTATCTTTCAGAATTCACATTCTAGTAGGGAGAGGAGGTTGGGCAAGTTGGTCAGGGAAGCCCTTGTTGGTGATCTGGAAAGATTTTATTCCTGATCTTCTTGCCTTTGCCTTTTATTAAAGGGGTAAGGTTTTAGTTATCAGAATAGAGAGTGAGTTGAATTCTTCAGATCCATTTGAGTGATGAAGCATGCTTTCCAATTTGAATAGTGCATAATTAATTGCATAGTGAGTGGAGATACAATTTAGTATCATAAATAAGTTACTTTTGTCAACTTGTTCAACGATTATTTCTCTGCATTGGAAGAGTGAATGTGTCGCTTTAGATTTAATCTGAGAAAATAGTATCTAATGTATTTTGTGTATTAGACTAAAGTTTAGAATTATTAAAAGAAAATGTTTCATGAACGGAAATACCATAATGGCTGGTGTTACTGATAAGTTCCCTATGAAGAGTTATTTTGAAAGCTGAAAAGTATAAGAGTCCTTGTTTATAATTAGGTCTCTGCATAAAGTTATTTAGTTTATTAAGTATTTTTAAAGCCTGATATTATCTTGTTTTAAAAAGTGATTGCAAAATGGCATGTATCTTTGAATTAATAGCGTAACATAATATGTTTTCATTATTAAAAATTCTAGCTTCTTTGCTTACTTTTAATTTTCATCACAATCTTCTTTTCCTAGGAAGATTCCTGATGTCGCACCCATTGTAAGTGATCAGAAACCATCTGTATCAAAGTCTGGACGGAAGATTAAAGGAAGGGGCACAATTGTATGTGTGATAAGACTTTTTTTGAAATTATGTATCTAATAAGAGATTTTTACCTAATGTTAAAATCCTAGCTTTAATTTTAGATACAATACAAAATCTGTTCAAGGAACTAATTGTATTTTCCATGGTTATGGGAAGGTATTGCTGTTAGAGCAAAGTATACTGCTGTGTTTGAATGGGTTTAATTGAGTATGAAAGGAGGAACATGTGAAACCATCAGTGAGTATGCTGAGAAATCATTAAGACTTTAAAGAGGAAAATTTTATGTGGATTACAGGTGAATCTCAGCCTTGCCCATCTCTTTTAATGCCTTGTTTGAAATAACTTCACCTGAACCTAATATAAAAGTTGAAAAAAAAAGGAAGAACTTTAGACCATCCTTTTGGTAACTTAAATCATTACCTTTGATGGGATGATCTGAGATTGTGTCTTACTTAACTCTGTCATATAGCAGACTGTCGTGGAGAGGCATTTTTTAAAATAGTATTCTTTTTGTTTTTAAAGCGCTATCACACACCTCCAAGATCAAGATCCTGTTCTGAGTCAGATGATGATGACAGCAGTGAAACTCCTCCTCACTGGAAAGAGGAAATGCAGAGATTAAGAGCATATAGACCACCTAGTGGAGAAAAATGGAGTAAAGGAGATAAGTAAGAACTTTGAGTAAAAGCACAATCCTGTGTCTGTTATATTTTAAGTGTTAAAGGGATTGGATACAATTCTGGACTTTTCATTAAAGAGTCAATGAAAGATTCACAGTCAGAATTAGATTGTGACCAAAGGAAATACATTTGGGACTACTTGGTGAAAGTAGTACTCTTAACTAGTTGGGCTTTTCAATCAAAATCCTGTTTTCCTTAAACAAAAACTATAAGCCTGTATCTTTTAATGACCTCTTAGTCAATTTTAGAAATAATTAGGACTTAGAAATTATATAGCAGATTCTTTCCTAGCCAGCCAGGTCACTGGTGAGTTCATTGGTAAATGGGAAAACCTGCACTCGGTGTGCATGTTGACTTTTGATCTCAGAGACTGTTGCTTTTTTAGAAGTGTACACATCTCTTCAGTACTGTCCCACAGTGGAATATTTATTTTAGGAAGGGGACAGGCTGCAGAATAGCTAGTGAAAAATATGCTAATGGGACCCTGTGTGATCCTCCATGGTAGTATTCTCTTTTTCTCTGGGGTAATTTGGGATTGGGTAGTTTGGGATTGGGGAAAGGAGGAAAAGGAATGCATCTGCTGTGTAGAAGTGGCTCAGACACAGTGGTGCTGAGGATTTTCAATTCTGAGCCTTGACATAAACGCTCAGATTGTAAAGCCTGTATCTGTTTTCGTGTACTTTTTCCTCCATTTCTTTTTTAAGTAGTTTACAGTCTTAGGGGAAATCTGGATTACCTCTGTGAGGCCGAGAAAAAACAAGCTTAATGCTAGTTTCAGGCAGCTATCCTGCATCTTAAGAAAATCAACAAATTGTTTAAGACCTTGGTTTGACTCACCCTCAAAAACTGTTCTGAGAGGTAGAGGGTTGTGAGCAGGTAACAGCCAGGAACTGTTGTGATTGAGTTCAGCAGTATTCTTGTGATTAGTTGGTTTGGTTTTCAAACACATTTTCCTAACAAATGTAAGGTTCTTTGCTTAGCTTAAAAAAAAAAAAAAAAAAATCCTTTTATAAGTGAATTTGTTAGTAGTTCTCAGTGTGTGTCTCCGAAAGCATAACAAGACCAGGCCTATAACTCTGATTCATGCTTCCTGCATGTGCTTAAAGTGTTAATGGGGTCAGGAACTTTGTTGTTAACAAAGCTGTGTCTTAGGCATAGAAAACATGCTTATAAATCACCGCATGAATATTATGTCCTTTCTATAGGTTAAGTGACCCCTGTTCAAGTCGATGGGATGAAAGAAGCTTGTCCCAGAGATCCAGATCATGGTCCTATAATGGATATTATTCAGACCTTAGTACAGCAAGACACTCTGATGGCCACCATAAAAAACGCAGAAAAGAAAAAAAGGTTAAGCATAAAAAGAAAGGGAAAAAGCAGAAACATTGCAGAAGACACAAACAAACTAAGAAGAGAAGGATTCTTATACCGTCTGACATAGAATCCTCAAAATCTTCCACTCGAAGAATGAAATCCTCTTGTGATAGAGAAAGGAGTTCTCGTTCTTCCTCATTATCGTCTCATCACTCATCAAAGAGAGACTGGTCTAAATCTGATAAGGATGTCCAGAGCTCTTTAACCCATTCCAGCAGAGACTCATACAGATCAAAATCTCACTCACGGTCTTATTCTAGAGGAAGCTCAAGATCAAGGACTGCGTCAAAGTCCTCATCACAGTCTCGAAGTAGATCAAAGTCCAGATCTAGTTCCAAGTCTGGGCACCGAAAGAGAACATCAAAATCACCAAGAAAACCAGCTTCTCAGTTAAGTGAAAATAAACCAGTTAAAACAGAACCTTTGAGATCAACCATGGCACAAAATGAAAATGTAGTAGTACAACCAGTTGTAGCAGAAAATATTCCTGTAATACCACTGAGTGACAGTCCCCCCCCTTCAAGATGGAAGCCTGGACAGAAACCTTGGAAGCCCTCTTACGAGCGAATTCAGGAAATGAAAGCTAAAACAACCCATTTGCTACCCATCCAAAGCACTTACAGTTTAGCAAATATTAAAGAGACTGGTAGCTCATCATCCTACCATAAAAGAGAAAAAAATTCAGAAAGTGATCAGAGCACTTATTCAAAATGCAGTGATAGAAGTTCAGAAAGCTCACCAAGGTCAAGGAGCAGATCTTCTAGGAGTAGATCTTATTCCAGATCATATACAAGATCACGTAGTCTAGCTAGTTCACATTCAAGGTCTAGGTCTCCATCATCTAGATCTCATTCACGAAATAAATACAGTGATCATTCACAGTGTAGTAGATCATCTTCATATACTTCTATTAGCAGTGATGATGGAAGGCGAGGTAAGAGGAGACTTAGATCCAGTGGGAAAAAAAATAGTGTTTCACATAAAAAACACAGCAGCAGCTCTGAAAAGACACTTCACAGTAAATATGTCAAAGGTAGAGACAGGTCTTCATGTTTGAGAAAGTATAGCGAGAGCAGATCATCTTTAGATTATTCTTCAGACAGTGAGCAGTCAAGTGTTCAGGCTGCACAGTCAGCCCAGGAAAAAGAAAAGCAGGGCCAAATGGAAAGAACACATAATAAACAAGAAAAAAACAGAGGTGAAGAAAAATCCAAGCCTGAACGGGAATGCCCTCATTCAAAAAAAAAAAATTTGAAAGAGAATCTTTCTGATCACCTTAGAAATGGCAGTAAGCCCAAAAGGAAGAATTATGCTGGTAGTAAATGGGACTCTGAGTCAAATTCAGAACGAGATGTAACTAAAAACAGTAAAAATGACTCCCGTCCATCCTCTGACAAGGAGGAAGGTGAGGCCACATCCGATTCTGAATCAGAGGTTAGTGAAATTCACATCAAAGTGAAACCCACAACCAAGTCGTCTGCAAATACTTCACTGCCTGATGATAATGGTGCTTGGAAATCAAGCAAACAGCGCACATCAACTTCTGAGTCTGAGGGGTCCTGTTCCAATTCGGAAAACAATAGAGGAAAGCCACAAAAGCACAAACATGGGTCAAAGGAAAATCTTAAAAGAGAACACACCAAAAAAATGAAAGAGAAATTGAAAGGGAAAAAAGACAAAAAGCACAAGGCTCCAAAACGAAAGCAAGCATTTCACTGGCAGCCTCCACTAGAATTTGGCGAAGAGGAGGAGGAGGAGGAGATTGATGACAAGCAAGTTACTCAGGAGTCAAAAGAGAAAAAAGTTTCTGAAAACAGTGAAACCATAAAAGATAATATTCCAAAACCTGAGAAATCCTGTGAAGAGGGCAACCTTTCAGGTAAACATAATACAGTGACTGTTTCCTCAGATCTTGATCAGTTTACTAAAGATGATAGTAAACTCAGTATTTCTCCCACAGCTTTAAATACTGAGGAAAACGTGGCCTGTTCGCAAAACATTGAGCATGTTGAAGAAAGTGTTACCAATGGAGTGGAAGATGTGCTTCAAACAGATGACAACATGGAGATCTGTACTCCTGAGAGGAGTTCCCCAGCAAAGGTAGAGGAGGCTTCCCCTCTAGGAAATGCACGGCTTGATACCCCAGATATAAACATTGTTCTGAAGCAGGATATGGCAACAGAACATCCTGAAGCAGAGGTGGTAAAACAGGAAAGCAGCATGTCTGAAAGTAAAGTGTTGAGTGAAGTGGGGAAACAGGACAGCAGCTCTGCTAGCTTGGCTAGTGCTGGAGAAAGTACTGGGAAGAAGGAGGTGGCTGAGAAGAGCCAGATCAACCTCATTGATAAGAAATGGAAGCCCCTGCAAGGTGTGGGGAACCTGGCAGCAGCTACTCCTGCCACATCCAGTGCTGTGGAAGTTAAGGCATTGACCACTGTGCCTGAAATGAAACCACAAGGCTTGAGAATAGAAATTAAAAGCAAAAATAAAGTTCGGCCTGGGTCTCTCTTTGATGAAGTAAGAAAGACAGCACGCTTAAACCGTAGACCAAGAAATCAGGAGAGTTCAAGTGATGAGCAGACGCCTAGTCGGGATGATGATAGCCAGTCCAGGAGTCCAAGTAGATCTCGAAGTAAATCTGAAACCAAATCAAGACACAGAACAAGGTCTGTCTCCTACAGTCACTCAAGAAGTCGATCGAGAAGCTCCACATCATCTTATCGGTGAGCAATATTCTCTTTCCTTCTCCCAAAGAGAGTCTGTTACTGTTTAGCTTGGAAGAATATCAGAATTAGGGACAGAATCACTATTTCCAAATATCTGAAAGGAATAAGAAGTCTTGTTTTGTGTGATTCAAAGAGTAGATTGAGGACTTAGGGAGAGGGAATTTCAGGAGGAGAAATTCAGGCTGGGTTTACAAAACTCTATTACTATCAATTTAAAGCTCTCTGTCACTAGAAATGAGTTCCCATGATAGTTGGTAAATTCTCCATCTTGAAAGGTGAGGCTGCTTCTTGCCAGTCAGCGATGCCTTAGAAGGGAATCCTGAATTGATAGAATATATAGAATTTGCAGATCATTAATCTAACCTTCCATTTTACGCATGTGGAAGGTGAGGGCCAGAGAGGCAAAATTACCTGCCCAAGACATGAGTCTTAGTTTAGATGTGGGATAGGGATAAACACGATCATCTTTAGGTTTTTTTTGTTGTTGTTTGAAAAGCAATAAAATAATTTAAAACACCTTTTCCTCAACTTTGTCACTCTGCACCTTCATGAAAAGGTTTTTTTATTGTTATAAATTGCATCATAACTTGTCAGCATAGAATGGATAACAGATGAGAATTAAAAACTAAAAATATTTGTGATGGTAATAGGAAGTTGTTAAGCAGTTGTGTTGCATTCTTTTTCTTGTAAATATTTTATGGTTTTACCTGTTTCTTAATTATTCATATCCCTTATTATATTGTGCTTGATACTCATCATTTGAACTGAAAATACTGTAAGAATCTTTGACATGTTTTTCCTTTCTAGTCATTCATCAGTCTTTCTTCCCTTGCCTACCCAGATTTCTTAAAAAAGGAACTGCCACATGCCGTCTATACTCGGTCTCCCATTTTCTCCTCGGCTGTGTGCTTGCTGCCTTCTGTGCCTTCCCCTCCCTGCATCTCTTAGTTTACTGACTTAAGACTTTCAGGTACTTCTGATGGCCAGTGCTGTGGCATATTTTCAGCCTCACTGCTGGAGCCCTCTGCTAGCTCTCCTTTCTCCTACTCAGGCCATTCCGTCCTTGTGTTATCAGCTTCTCTTCCTCCTCGTGGCCTTTTCTCTCTGAGTTCCTGTGGCTAGATGTAGTTGCCTGTTGAGCGACTCCAGCTTCCTGTCTGCTTATGATCCACCTTACCATTTATACAGAGACAGCTCTGAGCTATTAGTGATGCTGGCCACTCTTCTCATTTACCTTCCCACCTCTGCCTTGGAGTGGTATTTCAGTTTGTAATGAAGACAGCAAGGCATAGAAAGGCTCAGGGACTTTAGGCTATGTAGCTAACAGGTAGTAGACTCAGAGGGATAAGCCTGAGTGCTGCCCTGCCTCCCTGTTTTGGTTACCTGCCTGGGCCTGACACCCCCATTAAGCTGCGAACTCCTTGAAGTCAGGAACTGTCTCCTACTCATCATTCAGTCACCTCATAGGGTCTGGCTTTATTATTTTTGGTTGAATAAAAGACTGTGATCGTATTAGAACATGATGTATTCATTTTCTTGCAGATATACTGGAAGCAGGTCAGTCTTCCAAAACATAAGTGCATACTGAATAAAACCTGTGGTGATATTACATAATGTCACCTATACACAGAGGTATTGTTCTGTTCCTGAATGACAGGCTTAAAGTAGGGGAGAAGGGTGGGGAGCCAAGTGGGGGCAGAATTGTACTGCTTACATTTTTGCTTGTTTTATTAAGTATTAGACATAAAAAATGATTGAAGTATAAAAAACTGTATAATACATACTCATGTACCTGCCATCTAGCTTAAAAAAATAGAACTTTGGGCCGGGCGGGGTGGCTCACGCCTGTAATCCCAGAACTTTGGGAGGCCGAGGTGGGCAGATCACGAGGTCAGGAGTTCGACACCAGCCTGACCAACATGGTGAAACCCCGTCTCTACTAAAAATACAAAAATTAGCCGGGCGTGGTGGTGCATGCCTGTAATCCCAGCTACTCAGGAGGCTGAGGCACTAGAATCACTTGAACCTGGGAAACGGAGGTTGCAGTGAGCCGAGATCACGCCACTGCACTCCAGCCTGGGTGACAAAGTGAGACTCCTTCTCAAAAAAAAAAAAAAAAATAGCGCTTTGATGTACCAGTGCCACCCCTAGTTGCATGCCTATGTCCCAAAGTTAACCATTATTCTAAACTTTGGTTATAATTTTGTCTTTATCGTTTTACCCCAAATGTTTCTATCTTCATACAATGTTATGTTTGTATTTTTTATAAATAAAAAACTTTTATATATATAGATGTTCTACATTTGCCTTCTTGATTCAACATTGTATTCTAGAGATATATGTCTCTACCTTAATTTTTTTAACCCATTCTACCATTGGTGGAGATTTGGTTTATTTTCTTCTCAGTGTTATTGGTGTTATAAATCAGTCTTCTATGCACATACTTGTGCCAGCCTTTTCTTGTTTTTCTTCATTTTCTTCTGTTTTATTTTAACCATGGTGGTTTTGAGATTTCCTCGTTAGCTGACGCTGTCACATCCACTGTCAGGAGTTTGTGAGAGGCCTGCCTTCTTGTGTTTTCCTCTTCCTGCCCTACCAGTAATTAATTTTAATATCATGGTGAGTTAACATATATTTTTTCAATTGCTTTAATTATAGATCAAGAAGCTACTCTAGAAGTCGGAGCAGAGGATGGTACAGCAGAGGCCGAACCAGAAGCCGGAGCAGTTCCTACCGGAGTTACAAAAGTCATAGGTGAGCTTGTGATCTCGCTCTGTGATGTGGTCTCCATCATGTCCACTTTTTAAGGCTATACAGATAGAGGGGGTAGTTGTTGAGAAGAAGAATGTCATTACTGAATATAATACTGGCCTATTTTCTCATGTAGTTTTTTCTGTGAAAGAGCTGTGGAATTCTTGACTATTCCTCTGTTGGGATCTTATCAGAGTGAGACAAGAGAAGCAGTAGAAATATTTAAGAAGCCTTGACCCCTAACTCCACCTCCCCCACATGCATCTTCCTTAACCTAAGTTTTACATCTGCATTCACCTCTTGACATGGGTTAGAGATTGGGATAGGAAGATTGTAGAGAGGGGACCAAGGGGAAGAAGCATATATATTGGGGGAAGGGTGGCCCCAGATTTCTAGTTCTCCTAGCTGCTTTCCCTCTTTTGCCTCTGAGGTATTTTCTACTGCTGTCACTTCACTTTACTTAACCGAGGTCCCACCTGTACAGACCTTTCCCCTAACTCCACCCAGTTTAGAGCCTCCCTAGTGACTTTATATGCATCTCAGAGAAGAACTGCATAAAACTTCATCTTAGGAAATCCAATAGGCTTTTTAGAAAATCCAATATACTTTTGATATGAAAACAAAACAAATGTAGCTGTGGGATTTCACTGTATTTTCACCTTGGTGGGCAAATAAATGTCTAGATATTTGGTATAGCCCATCCTGCCCTGATCTGTAAGATGATGGTCCTTCATGTGATTAATATTAGGACGTCCAGCAGGAGCAGATCCAGGAGCAGCTCATATGATCCCCACAGTCGGTCCAGGTACGAACAGGGATTGGGTAACCATCAGTGGGGCAGAACTGAAAGATCTTGTTTTATAAACTGTTAGTTCAAAGTGGTATTTTATTGAGTAACTAAATGCATATATTTGTCTCCTGAAACCATAGCTTTTCTAAATGAGGTCTTTTTGACAAGTTTTATCTGTTGGCCCATTGTACTCCAGTGTCAAAAATGACAGTATCAAATTGTAATGGCAGGTGTTTATTGAATATAATTGCCTACAAAGATCCACCAGATTTAAACTAACTCATTAATTTTATGGTATTTTTCAATGCAGAAAAGAAATTAAAATTTTTCTCTTTAATTATGTTAAGTCTCATTTGGGGGCAATTGTTAAATGTTTCCAGTACTTGTTTTGGAAATATATCCTCATGCTGTCACCTAGTGCCCATGTTCTAAGCTAGAACACTCCTAAGATCCTAAAAAGAAATAGGAACATATGAGTATTTGAGTGGGAAAATTTAGTGTTTGTTGTTGCTGTTAAAGCAGGTCCTACACCTACGATAGCTACTATAGCAGGAGTCGGAGTCGAAGTAGAAGCCAGAGAAGTGACAGTTACCACCGAGGCAGAAGTTATAATCGGCGGTCCAGGTGGGTCTCTCTCCTTTATCATCCGTTATTGCACTGCAGGCCACAGTGGGCATTTGATATGGGAGGTGACGGGCTGCTAGTGGAAGAGAAAGTGGACAGAAATACTTCTTCCTGGTTAAATCTGAACAACTCACAAGCAGCCACTAAAAGTGGCTTTTATATTAAGAGTTGCCAGGTAATATCTCTTGGTTATTATTAATGTTTGAATCTAAAATGGGTTTTTAAATATTCACATATCTTGGACAGACGTTTGTTTTGGAAAGAAAGAAGGCCACCCAAACTATGGCCACTTGCTTAAATAGAACTACTTGCTAGCAGTAGCCAGTTTCTCTTTTTAAAAAAAAAAAAAAAAAAAATACATAATATCATTTGCTTCAGCAGCAGGATTGAGGTTTATAGGTTGTCAATTATTTAGTAAAATACATTTATGTATTATATGTATTATGTTTAGCATATTTTGGCTTCTGCAAAAATCTTTATGTTAACTTTTGTACTGTCCTTTTCTGGTGGCTTCTGGTCTTGCCTTCCCCTGTTCATTGCAACTACATTGATGCTTGTAAATATCAGTGTGATCTGGATGCTCCCTTGCTTGAAACTCTTCAGGGACTCCCTACTGCTTTCATGATGAGGTCCAGCCTCCTCAGCACCAACTCCAGCTCAGACTCTTTCTGGCTTCCCTCCTTTAAAGTGCTGGGACTTTTCCTTCTGCCTGGAGACACACGTGCCCTCTTCACCATCTCCTCTTTTGCCACTTGAAATGGCCAGTTCCCATTTACCCTGCAGATCTCCACTGTCACTGGGCAGCCCTCCCTGATGCCTAATTATTGGATATAGTCCCTCCCATGTGCCTCTAAGGCAGCCTTTGCTCCTACTGCGGCCCCCCTTGCTCCTAAATTATTTGTCTTGGCAACTATTGTATTCTGTCCTTGAACCCCAAAGAACTATACTTGGTTTCGTGTCTCTGTGTGTGTGTGTGTGTGTCCAGAATCTTGCAAAACGCCTGGCTCACAGTGAATGTTTTTCAAAATAACTGAATGGGACCCATGACCAGGTCCTCTTGACTAAGTATCCCAGTGGTCCTGTTCATGCCCAGGGCCGCCGCCAACCCTCATTGGACCCCATTTTGGTTTCCATTTCTTTAATGAAACTGTGTACCTTTTCCCCATTACTTTTCTCAGGTAATCTATTCAAATATTGATACTCATTTTGGTTAACATGGGAAACTATTCTGCTCTTTGGTTTTTTGTTTTTGTGGTCCCAGCATTTTCATGAATGAATTTCACACAAATTTCCTAAGATGTGATGTTTTTTGATTATATTTTAATCTTGACATTACTACAACTTGTCATTTAAAACATCTTTGAAAAGTCCATAGTATGAGCCAGGCACGGTGGTTCACGCCTGTAATCCCAGCACTTTGGGAGGCAGAGGCGGGTGGATCATCTGAGGTCAGGAGTTCAAGACCAGCCTGGCCAACATAGTGAAACCCCATCTCTACTAAAAATACAAAAAATTAGCTGGGCGTGGTGGCAGGCACCTGTAATTCCAGCTACTAGGGGGGCTGAGGCAGGAGAATCACTTGAACCCAGGAGGTGGAGGTTGCAGTGAGTTGAAAGCATGCCATTGCACTCCAACCTGGGCAACAAGAGCGAAACTCCATCTCAGAAAGAAAAAGAAAAAGTCCATGGTGTTGCCATAGTCTGTACCCTACATCTGTGCTATGCTGCATCAGCAGCGCATCAGTTATATTAGTGGCTTGAAAACATCAATAGTGTTTTCAAGCCACTCATATAAAAAAGAAGCTACAAGAGGAATTCAAAGATTTTATAGTTATAAGGTTTTTATATATTTTGTTTTGTTATTACAGGAGTTGTAGATCTTATGGCTCTGACAGTGAAAGTGACCGAAGTTACTCTCATCACCGGAGCCCCAGTGAGAGCAGCAGATATAGTTGAAAATGTCCCTTTTATGGATACAAATTATATCTTATTTGTAAATATCTAGCAACTTAAAAGCTTAAGAAACTTAATGACAGTCTGTTGTTCTATTTCAATATCAGAGATGAATTTCAAAAATAGATACTTCTTAATTGTTACTCGTTCATTTACATGTGGGGAGAAGAATTTAAAATACAGATATGTCTCCTAAAAATATTTTTATGCCACATTTTACAGTAGCCAACTATGGAAATGAACTTCATTTTCTTGAATCAAGAAATCGTGAAATTTATGTATAATTTGCAATATTATTTTAAGTCTATTTCACTCTATCTCACGTATTCCTTAGAATACAGATTCTTTTTGCCTGTTTTTCCAGTTTTAGCATATATGCTGCCAAGCATAGAACTGTGAAGGAGAACTGTTAAAGGCGGCCAAATATTTATATACTGATTACATAGAGTCTTGTACATAATGTGCTCTAAAAACAAACCACCCAGAATTGATACTGTTGGTAACCAGGAGTATAAGGCAGTGGCTCTGGGGTTCTTAATTCATTCCTAACTTCTTTGATATTTCACAGGATTAGGAAAGTGGTCATGATACGTCCCACACAGTCTGTATTACTTCAGGCTTGTGGGCAAGGTTAGGAAGAATCAATCAGCCTTAACTATAAATACCTGCACTGTCTCTGAGGACTTACTATTTTATGTTCTTTTTAATCAATACCTATCAGAAGTTGAGGTTATAAAAGCAATTCTATTCTACTTCATGCTTTGGTGCTTGGTAATTTTTGGTACCTCTTTAAGCATTACTCTTATAGATCATATATTTAAATACCATAAAAGAGAAAAATTAAATTCAAAAAAATCACTGGCACCAAAAATGGTTTATTCTGAGCTGTCTTCACTTTGACTATTTGGGGGGCTTCTCTCAAGTACAGATGTGGGTTGGGGTCCCCTGGAGCAGGCAGGATTGGCAATAGGAGATACTGGCCACTCAAGTCTACTACGTGTGTGTACCTCTGGAAGAGTGAAGACTGGACTTCAAAAGTAACATCAAAATCTAACTGCCACCATCCTGGAGACATTTTGCAGGGCTTTCAAGTCTTTCAAGTACAGGATATTACCACAACAGCAGCTGAACTGTTGTAACCAGCATGTTTTTCCTGTTTCCACTGTGACCTGCAGCTGACTCAAAGCCTTGCATGACCTGACCCAGGTGCAAGAGACAGGGGAAGAGGGATAGAGGGTATAGCATAAATTATATATTTTCATGGCTTTGGGTGGTTCCTCCAAAAATAATTGGACCTGTAAAAACTAGTGTGTGTGTGTGTGTGTGTGTGTGTGTGTGTTTAATCTTTACTTTGAATTTGTTCCCCAAGTGTACTTAATCACCTTAGTGCCACTTTAATCCAGTTATGCAGAAGAAATTCATATTGGATGCCTGATGTAGAACTCAGCACTACCCTACCACAGGCCTTGTCTGGTGTATTTGGGAAGTGGAAAAGAGCCCTCAGTTGTAGGGAGCTGACAACCCTTGGTGGAGGGAGGGTGCCCTTGAATGTATTAAAACTATCACCCAAAGAAGGTATGAAAACAGGGTAAGGTGGTCAGTTGTTTGCCAGGTTGATAGACAGAAGTACATTAGAAAACAGGACTTTGGCCAAACAAACAATACTGGATACTGAATACAAAACAGTATGATTTAAAGGTTTTCAAGGGTTGCCTGCAAAGGAGAATATTACTACTAGTCAGTAGGAAAAAAATGCATTCAGAACCCAAGCAGAAACTGCCAAATGTAATTAAGAAAAGTTGCCCTTGGGCACTGTGTTAGTTTTCTATTGCTGTGTGACAAATTACCCCAAATTTAGCAGTTTAAAACAACACCCATTTAGCAGTTCTGTAGCTCATGGGTCTGGCACAGTGTGGCTGGCTTCTCTGCTCAGGGTCTTACAAGGCTGAAATAAGGGTTGGCAGGACAACATTCCTTCATGGAGGCTCTGGGGAAGAATCTGCTTCTAAGCTCATTCAGGTTGTTGGCAGAATTCAGTTCCTTGCTGGCTCTCAGCTGGGGGCCCCTCTCTCACCTCCTTAAGGCTGCCTGCATTCCTTCTTGTGTGGTCCCCTCCAGCTTCAAACCAGCCTTCCTGCTCTTTCTCATGGTTCATCTCTCTCCCGTCCTCCTCTGTTTTAGGGGCATATGATTAGCTCAAACCCACAGATATATTTGACGGTCGATTGTTCGATAGAACATAATTGCAGGAGTACTATCTCATCTCATCATATTCACGGGTTCCGGAGATTAGCTCACTGAAAGGGGGAGGGGCATTTTCAAATTCTGCCTACCACAGGCAATAACTTTGCCCATCTCAGCTGTGGGTGGAATTTTATCCAGAAAAGATAGGCCCTAGAAGCCTCATTTCTTTTCTCCATGGACAAGGACAGCCCTCTGCTGCAGCATTCAACTTGTATGTTTACTGACAGAGTGAACTACAGAAATAGCCTTTCTTCCTAAAGGGGATTGTTCTGTATTTTGAAGTTATTTTTTAATAAAATTGAATTATGTTGTGTATTGTGCTTCTTAATAGGAAATGCATTATTGGACTGTTTTTGTAACATCTTGTTTATTGCAAATAGCTAGTATTGTTCAAAAACTGTATAAAATACTTTTGTACATATTAGCAATGTCTAATTTGTATACACTTCAGTTAAATTTCCCTAAAACTTTAAAGGGGACCTTGTAGAAATTAAAATATATACTTAGTCTAAGTCTGAGTCTGTGCATGTTTCATCTTTCTGCTGACCCAGCCAGTGAAGACACCTCATCTCCTTTGGCAGCTCCTTTTCTTCTAGCTGAGTGTTAGTGGTGGGTGTAGGAGGTGGAGCTAGAGAGAATGTCAGGCAGAGATTTTTAACCTATACAGGTAAGCATTAATGATGCTTGGTCTTCCTCTCCTGGAAACTCCAGATTTCCCCTACACTTTGTTGTCCAGCTAAAGTGACCTGCATAAAGATGTCTTTGCTGAGGGAGGAATATGTCACATCCCATCTGTGAGTTTCTGCCTAGAGACAGTGCATTTACCTGCAGCCTCTACATTTCCCTCCCTAACAGCAGTACATCAGGCAGTGCAAGACATATCACTCACTCCCAGAGAAAACATTCTTTTAGCATACACAGAATTTGCAGGGAAGTACAATTAACTTTTGTCTCCTCAGAACTGAAAGAAATATGTATTTTCTTAGTGAACACAACATAATTTATTGCAGTTAACTTCTCACTGCAGACACTCAGTTTTTAAACTGAATTCACAGTGGACTCCTTATTTCAGCAACTCCTGAAATTTGTCAAATCTGGATGCATTCCTTTAAAATTGTAAAGAAAATGCAGGATCAAGTTCTGATAGTGGTAAGCTTGATAGTTGGGCAGTATTGGGGGCAAAATGTGCCAAGGACTTTGGTCTTGACTCTTCTGAATTAGCTGGGCATTAAATAGGTGGGAAGGTAATTCAAGGAAAATGCAAGAGACTATGGACACTAACTGGGAATCACTGTTTAGAAGAGATGGGAGGTGGCCGGGCACGGTGGCTCACATCTGTAATCCCAGCACTTTGGGAGGCCAAGGCGGGTGGATCACTTGAGGTCAGGAGTTTGAGACCAGCCTGGCCAACATGGTGAAATCCCATGTCTACTGAAAAAAAAAGAAAAAAAAAAAAAAGACTCTACTCACTTTTTCAAGGCAGATGCTGAGCCTTGAACAAGTGTTGCAGACTAACGTGGTCAGGTGAAAAGATGTGGAAGCCATGCCTCATAAGGTGAAAGGGACTGGGTTCAGATTTCCAGAGGACTGGTTTTTGGAACAGAGAATCAACTCTGCTGTTGCCCACAGTGAGGCGAGAGCCCGCAGGCCCATGAGGGCCTTGTGGTAGAATGAGCTGGAAAGACAGCAGGGAGAAGTTCTTTGATGCAGTAAAGGCCCCTCAGGAGTCCAGAGGTTTCGGGAGGAGTTGGGTACCGTGAAAGAACACGTTCATCTCAGTACAGACTGGGAAGCTTGTCAGGGCCTGATAAGTACAAGGCAAGGGGAGTCTGCCCTGGCCACATACACACAGGGCTAGGAGGCTTTAGTGGTCTGGTTTCTTTCAAAGTTTCAGTACAAGGTAGAGGTAGTACTCCCTTGCTGCTGCCTCCACCCTCCCTGTGAATCAGAAGGCCCCGGGTGGGCCTGCTGCCTCTTGGAGACCCCAGACCCATCACTTACTGTAACCCCTCAAGCTCCAGCTCCCTAGACTGAGCTCAGCTTCACAGCCTGTAGAACCCAGGCTAGCTTGGAGAGGGTTGCATCTCTTCAGCCCAGAGCCATGAGGATATCAGGGTAAAAGGAGGAGTGGCCACCTGTATTTCTAGTGCTTTGGGAGGCCAAGGCAGGAGGATTGCTTGAGGCCAAGAGTTTAAGACCAGTCTGGACAACATAGCAAGACTATCCAGACAAAAACAGAACAAAAAAGTAGCTGGGCATGGTGACACACACCTGTAGTCCCAGCTACTCAGGGCTGAGGTGGGAGGATCACTTGAGCCTAGAAGGTGGAGACTGCAGTGAGCCATGATTGCACCTCTGCCCAGCTTGGGCAACAGAGCAAGATCCTATCTGAGAAACAACAAATGGAGTGAACTGAGGTCTCAGGACAAACACCTGCATTCTGCATCTTGAGCCCTGATCCTGGGCCTCCTATGGCTTATAAACCCTGAACGAGGGTATATATGGCTAGCACACTCAGACGTGATAGACAACCAGGGGTGCTTATCCCTTCCCAGCCTGCAGACGAGTCTGCCTCCCAGTGGACCTGGCCCACAGGGGTTGGGTGTATAGGCTGGCACTTCACCAGCCTCTGGTCACCTAGGACCTCTAGTAACTAAAATCTCCCATCAGGCCAGGTTCCCAGAGAAAGCCTGAAAAGAGTCCCCACTGACCTCAATGCCTCCAGCCTAATTTGATCTTATTTTGAAGAAGCAGGGGGACTTCTATGAGCAACTATTATACGGTACAATCCTTAAGGACTCTGGAGAACCAGACTGCTTGGGTTTAAGTTCTACTCTGCCACTTCCCAGTTGGGTAACCAGAAGGAGGACAATTTGCTTGACCTCTCTATAATTCAGCTCATCTGAAAAATGGATGCTAGGGATTCCTCCTCCTAGAACTGTGGTGTATTAAATGTTTAGAAAACCAAGCATACATCAGTGGTTCAGAGATGGTGGTCCCAGAGGTAGTGCCTCTAGAAGTGAAGGAGTCCCAGAGGGTTCATGTCTGGGGCCAGGCTCAATCACTAGGGAGAGGCCCAAGGCCCCCAGAACTAACAGGGCAGGAGAGGATCCTGGAAGCTGCAAAAGAGACCTGAAATGCCAAAGCCATGATGTTTATGCTGTGAGAGGAAACCAGACAACCTGCTGGTTTGCATGAGGCCCCCAACCAAGGGCAGCTGTAGCCTATTAGTGCTGGGTTCAGTGGAGGCAGAATTCAGGTGTAACCTCCACCCTTACCCCACACCCAGCGGATTCATGTTTTCCCGCCCTGCTTAGAACTCTGGGCTTTGGGTCAGCGCCTAGTGGGTAGCTTTGAACTTCCCTGCCACCCCACCGGCCCCATGATGTGTGAGTTGAATTGCATTGCCTGTATTTTTCTGGCATTGCCCACTCTGCTCTCCCTCTTGCCCAGGCTCAGTTACACACAGTTCCATGCCCTCTGAGCCGACTCAGCCCTGCATTGCTCCCACACATGCATACCCACAACCTGGGCTGTTCTTTCCAACTTCAGTGGGGTTGAATCTGGTTTCCCTAACCAAGCCTGGGGACACTCCAGCACTGAGGGTAGATACCTAGGGAAATTGAAAGAAAATCCATGAGCTGTTTTCCAGAGGCAGGGGCATAGCTTTCCTGACCCTGCCAGGACCCAATCCCAAATGTGTGAAGGATCACTAAGCTCTGCCCTTGCTGGGTGAGCATCTCCAGACTCCTGACTCATCCCTGGGGCATGCATTTCTGGCCTAGGAGTCACCTCCACAATAACTCAGTCCCTCCCTCTAGAAAGCCTGCCTTGACCTCCCTGAAGTGAAGCTCCTACTGCATGCCCCTCATCAGGACAAAGAGAGAAATTCTGCTTCTGCCTAGCTCCACCTGTTCACTCCCACTGACCAGACAACTGATCAACAGGAATCTTGACTCCACCACACCAAATCCCCTCTAGTTCCCTGCAGGCACTAAATTGTCTCCACCTCCTGGCCTTTGCAGGAGCTGTCACTGTCTGGAAAGCCCTTCCACTCCCTCATTGCTCTAGTTCAAGTTCAAGGCTCAGCTCTGAGCAGCCCTCTGGGCCCACCAGACAGCTCTTCAAACCACTCCTTCCTGCCAGGTCCAATGTTGCCAGGTGCCCACAGCTGCTCACAGAGCTCAGGCTCTGCCCTGGGACTCCCAAGCCGATGAGCTGCAGGCCAGAGAAACAAAAGGGGAATAGCCGAGGCCTTCAGGGAGACTGAGTGCCCCCCTACCACCCGTCCCCTCCCTTCTCACCCAACCTCCAGCCCTTCCTGCAGCTTGACTGCTGGAGCCGAGGCCCCAACAAGGCCCCACAGAGCCAGCATCACTACCTCAGTCACGCTGGCCACACCCTCTGTCAAGCTTTGACTTGGCAGTGGGCCTAGCAATGTCCCATGCAGCTCTCTCTGCCAGGCTTCTTCCGGCCCGTGGAGAGGTCCCCTCTCCCCACCTCCCTTTCCCCTGGTTCCTGATGTTGATGCCTAAGTGATTTGTCCTGCTCTGAGCCTCAGAGTCCTTATCCAACCAATGGGCACACAGCCCCTCCCTTACTACCTCCTGGGCCAGTGCTAGGATCCACTGTGAGTCAGATGAGGAAGTGGGCTGGGAGGAAGAGGCAGAAGGCAGCCCTCAGGGGGCTAGCTGGTCAGAAGCATGTAAGCTGCTCTGGCCTGGCCTTAACCTGGGGTTTCTGGGAGCTGGGCCAGCTGTCTGTGCACCCATGCAGGTGCAGGGTATCTGCAGCAGCTGCCAGGGGCTTCCAGATGCCCCAGCTTTGGCCCCTGAGACATTTTCTCTCTGGCTCTGGGATAGCCTTGTCCTGAAGCCCTCTGATTCTGGTGGAGAGTGGGGGTGGGGGAGGAAGCCCTTGCAGTCTTAGGGGACAGACCATCAGGCTGTTTCATGGCACCTGCCTAAGACCCTGGTCTCTCCTCCATTTCTCCTCTGGCACCTAGAACCAAGTCACCCTGAGCCAGCGCCAGAGTTCCTGCCCACTCATGAGTAGGGCAGCATACTCAGGAGATACTGTTGCAGCTGGACATGGACTTGTATGTAAACACAAGCGCACATATGTGGGGAGGGGTGTGGAATATCAGGATGGGGGCAACATGAGAGTGACCCAGGATGGGCAGTAGTCAACTTGGGGTAGGAGTAGGGGATGCTCACAGAGGCCTCTCCTCTACAATGGGGTGGCCCAGTCACCATCCAGACCTTGCCAGGTCTAGTGCCCCGTGGTCCCCACCCTGCTGCCTGCTCAGCCTGGCGGCATTCCTTTACAGCCTCCTGCCAACAGAGCCAGCCCCCTGCCCCCACGGGTGTCCATGCCAGAGCAGCATTCCGCAAGCCTGGCTGCATCTCCCCAGCAGAGGCTGAGCAGGGGGAGCCACTCAGCAGTGGTCAAGTCACACGGCTAGAGGGGCACAGTGGGGCCTGAGCCTCTGGCCCCTACTCCTCTGGTCCCTCTGTCTCCTGGTCCTGGGCCAGTCACCTTAGAGGACTTGATCGCTGCAGTTGTAGTCCTGGGTTTTAAATCTCCTGCCCTGGGTGGCCCTATGCAGCATGAGGCCACCAGGTAGGTATGGGTCCACTGGAGCCAAGTCCTGGAGGCACAGAGCAAAATGAGCCCTGCGCCGCCCTGGGTTAGGGATGGGAGACTGGACCAGTTGGGGACCCCAGACTCACCCCCAGGTCAGAACAGCCCAGGCAAGAGGGTGGGGGTGGTGAGCGCGGCTGGGGTGCGGGGTTCAGTGAGATCAGCGTGGGATCGCTCAGGGAAGCGGGTGGAAGTCTTTTCTGATCGGATCCGGGGCCCGGCGCGCTCAGCTTCCTGATTTCACGGCAGCTTCCCCTCCGTGGCGCAACCGGAGGGCACCGATGTTTGACTCCCGGACGAACTTCCCGGCAGAAAGGAGGCTCAGCACGGGAGGGTGGGGCCGGGGTCCATCTGCTCGGATATGAGCAGTGGGGACGGGCTGGGGGCTGGAACAGGGGCTGGGGGGTGGAGGGCAGCCTGCAGCAGGGCGGGCTGCACGGGGACGGCGCACACCACGCGTGTCCGCGCCCCCCGCCGGCACGCAGGCGGCCTGGCCCTTTAAGCGTCCAGACGGCGGCCCCAGCTGACGCGCGGGCTCCAATCGGCGCCCCGCGCCCCCCGCCCGCCGCGCCCGAGGCTCTGGGGCCGCAGCTGCTCGGCGCTGGACTCGCCGCGGCCCTGCGCCTCCGCCTGCCCGGCCGCGCCCCCGGGGGCCATGGTCGCGGGGCCCTGCGCGGGGGCGGCCCCCAGCGCGGCGCTTCATGGAGCGGCCCCGGCCTGGCCGCCGGGGGCAGCGCGATCCCGCGGGGCCCTGTGAGCCCCCAGCGCCACGGCACCATGGTACGCAGGGCCCTGCCTGTCCCCCCGCTTATCCGCCCACCTGCCAGCTCTGACCTCCCAGGCGCACTGCCCGCGGGCTCTGGTGGAGGGGCTGGAGGGATCTTCCCCCTCCCCCGGTCTCCCGGCTCCATCTGCTGGGTCCCGCGGGCTGGGAATGCGGCGCTGTGGCGCGGCTCTCGGTGGGGAGGGGGTTAAATTCCTGGGGTGGGGGCGCCGGCGCTCGAGGCTGAGGTCTTGCTAGGCACCGGCAAAGGAGGGCGCTCCCCTGCGCCCGGACGGCGCCGCCCTCGGGCTGGGTAATGGGGGAAAGAGGGAGTCGGATTCCCGCCTGGGCCTTGGGCCACGTGGGCGCTGGAGCCGCCCTGCCTGGGGATTCGGGATGACCCGGAACAAGGGGGTGTGGGAGGACACCCATAGCTCCAGTGCCAACTCCTGTGTGACCTTGGGCAGATCCCCCGCCCTCTCTGGGTCTATCTCCAAGGGAAAGAGGGGAGGTACGTGCACAGAGGAGGCTGGCATAGACACTCCCTCACCAAAAGGAGGAGCCTAGAGGTCATGAGGCTGTGCCCCCTTGTTCAGTCTGGGCCCATCCACTGCTGCCCAGCGTAGAAAGAATTGACATGGGAGTGGGGCGCAGATGGACTCCCCAGGTTTCATCATGGGGCCTTCCAGGGAGGCTCTGAGGCAGGGTAGAGAGATGAGGCTTCTCCTCAGTGAGGCAAGGTACCCCTCAGGTGTAGAAGGCTCTGACTTAGGTGAGCAGCCTGGAGAGATGTCCCTGGCACCTGGCCAATCCCCAGCCTGACTTGGGGCAAGGGTTTGAAGGCATGAAACCCCCTTGCAACCAGAGTGCCTGACCACTTCCCTGGTCCTGCATCTTAGCTAGGCTGGAGTGACCTGGACTGCAGCTGGCACAACCGGATGGGGAGGGGCACCCATTGCTTCCGGGAACTAGCACATCTGGCCGTGGAGGCCAGCACAGCTGGTGGGCATTGTGTGGTAGGGCCAGACACGGAGGTGGCTGAACCCTGCTGAGGGGCTGCCACTTGTAGACTCGGGCAGCATCTCTGTGCCCAATCAAGAGAGTCCAATCAGGTCGTGAGGTTTAGGGCCCCCCAAGGGCCAAGGATGGTGGTGGCTTGTCTGAGGGTACCACTTTAGCAATGGAGTGTTTGAGGCAGCACTCCCCTCCTGTCCTGCTGAGAGGCCAGAGGGCCAAAGTCAGGCCTCATTTGGCCTGGAGGCCAAAGTGCACATGGGAAGGTTGCCCTTTCTCTGTGGCAAGTGGGCACAGGTGGGCAGTGGAGGGCATTCCATAAAGGGAAAGCAGAGAGATCTGGGGCTCTGTTGCCTGGAATGGACTTCCCCGAACAGGCCTGGCTTCGGCAAGCCCTTATCCAAGCCACTTCTCCTGCCACTCTTTAGCCCCTGGAGACCCTAAGGAGCCCCTGTTGCAACCCAAGTTGTACCCTGATCCTTCGCTGACCTGCAGGTGCAGTGGCTCTAGGGAGGAGGAAGCAGGTAGAGGGGGTAGTGGTGAGTGTGGGGAAGCACGACTGGTCTCCAGGTGAAGGGGTGTTCTTGCTTTTTAAGTCATTAAAGGCTCAGAAATCCAGCCATGTGGAGTCTAGCAAGGAAGGGGTGGTCTTAGCAGAGCTGGGAGTCCAGGGGCTCCAGATTGTGGAACCCTCTCATTCTGAGCCTCAGTTTCTCCATCTGTGTAGTAGGGGTTGGTCCCAGAAGATGAATCAGAATGAGTCAGAGGAGGGAGATGGGAGGGGCTTGGTGCCACGTCCCAGTTAGATTGGCCAGGCCTGGACAGCCTGGGACAGAGGGGCAGATGGATGGTTTCTTGGCTGGGGTAAGGGGTGTAGTGGAGAACTCGAGGAAGATGGTAGCCTTGGCCAGGGGCCTGGCCAGACTGGGATGTGAGGGAGCACAGGATGGCTGCTGCCCTGGCCGCTGGGTGTAGGGGTCAGGGTCCAGGACAGGCCTGGAGACAGGTGGCCCCTGGTGGCTCAGGGAGGCTCCTCCTGAGGCCCAGGGTAGGTTCTCTCATTCAGGTGACTGAGAAGAGGAACTCAACCACCACCACCCCTGCTCAGTCACCACCCCTACCCACTGCTGTCCTGGCAATGGAAGGCCTGGCATGGGTGGTGGGGGGGTGGGTAGGCTATGAATGGATGGGGCCAGGATTCATCCCAGGGTCCCCAGGGAGGCGCTGACAGCTATGGAGTTTTGTGGCCATCAAAATACTGTGGCAAGGTACCTCCTGAATTCAGGAGGCTCAGACCTGGCTGGGCAGACCCTGAGGACAGCCAGAACCTGGAACCAGTGGGGCTGGTCCAGCCGGGCTGGTGGTTGGTGGATATTAACTGAACATCTGCACATCACTGTGTGATGGTCCTTGTGCAGGGACTGGGCAGGCTGCCTGTCTGTGCTGCCCACCTTTTGGGGAGGCTGCTGTGGTAGAGCCAGGGGTGACTGAGTTGGCCTCTATTCAAAGCAATTCACAGGTGCTGGATGTGGCCCACAGGCCTGATAGTCTGACCCATCAGACTTTGAGGGCCTCCCCTAGGGCTCTGGAAGCCCCAGATGGTGTGACCTCCAAGGCAGGGCTTTCCCAGAGCCTGTGGACATGGACCGTACCTGACCTGGGGTCTGGGGGTCTACAGGGAAAAGGGTCTGGGGCAAGCCTTGGGGCCTCTTGCCTGCAAGCATGGTAGGCAGGTTCCACAGCTGTGTCCTTCCACCCCTGCAGAGCCCCTGGGTGAGAGAGAGCTGCTGGGGGCTAGACCTGAGGCTGTAGGCAGGGGTTGGGGGCAGCCTGGCCCAAGCCCTGGCTGTGATGACGGGACCTCACCAGGCAGTGCAGCAGGACCAGAGCAGGGAGAAGGTATAGGCCCTGAGGCTGAATTTCTTCACAGATTTCAACTTCTGTAGCAACTGCACGGCTGTTGCAATGAGGGGTTCTCTCAGGTGCTACCCCTTGGGTTCTATAGCCAGAGGCTGGGCAGTGAGCAGTGAGCCCGGATTCTGTTCTTGAGGTATTTGGGGCTGGGCAAGCTTGTTTGTATTGGTATGTGTGAGTGAATATGTGGAGAGAATCCCCAGGGCTGGGGAAACACTGAAGGAATGCCTGTGGCCCTCCTGGGGTGACCATCTAGTCCTGGTGTGCCTGCGATGGTCCTGGTTCTAGCACTGAAAGCCCTGCACCCCAGAAAATGCCCAGGTCCCTGGCAAACCTGGATGGTTGGTCACTGTGGTCTCTCTTTCGTCCCCTTTCCTTCTCTTTCCCTTCCTGGGATGACTTTTCCCATTTCACAGGAGACGACCCAGAGGCCCAGAAAAGTGACAGGACCTGATCTTCAGCCTCAGAGGGTCACGAGTGGAGTCTGAGCTCTGAGGGCAACTCACTCAGGCTTGAATTCCTTCCTTGCTAGAGCTTCGGCTCTGTTGCTGTAAAGTGGAGCCACCAGTGATGGGCTGCCTCCTGGATGGCCGGCCACGCTGGGGGTGGTGCTAGGGGAAGGGCGGGCAGGGGCCCACTGGCCTTGACCCACTCCTGTGCCCTCTGTCCCCGCAGTTGCTGGTTGAGAAGACAACTGACTCCCCGGCGGCCGAGTTCTCGCTGGTGGAGGATGTGGCGCTGCACTTTGCCTGCTTGATGGGCCGCCTGAATGAGCAGCGCCTCTTCCAGCCTGACCTCTGTGACGTGGACTTGGTGCTGGTGCCCCAGCGCAGCGTCTTTCCAGCACACAAGGGTGTGCTAGCCGCCTACAGCCAGTTCTTCCACTCACTCTTCACCCAAAACAAGCAGCTGCAGCGTGTGGAGCTGTCCCTGGAGGCGCTGGCACCTGGTGGCCTGCAGCAGATCCTCAACTTCATCTATACGTCCAAGCTGCTGGTCAACGCGGCCAACGTCCACGAGGTGCTCAGCGCCGCCTCCTTGCTGCAGATGGCCGACATCGCTGCGTCCTGCCAAGAGCTGCTGGACGCCCGCTCTCTAGGCCCACCAGGTCCGGGCACTGTGGCCCTGGCCCAGCCGGCTGCCAGCTGCACTCCAGCTGCACCGCCCTACTACTGTGACATCAAGCAGGAGGCCGACACCCCAGGCCTGCCTAAGATCTACGCCCGCGAGGGCCCTGACCCTTACTCGGTGCGTGTTGAGGACGGGGCAGGGACTGCTGGTGGCACCGTGCCTGCCACCATTGGGCCAGCCCAGCCCTTCTTTAAGGAGGAGAAGGAGGGTGGTGTCGAGGAGGCCGGTGGGCCCCCGGCCGGCTTGTGCAAGCTGGAGGGTGGAGAAGAGTTGGAGGAAGAGCTTGGGGGTTCTGGCACCTACAGCCGCAGGGAGCAGTCCCAGATCATCGTGGAGGTGAACCTCAACAACCAGACACTGCACGTGTCCACAGGGCCAGAGGGGAAGCCAGGTGCCGGGCCAAGCCCGGCCACCATGGTTCTGGGCCGGGAGGACGGGCTGCAGAGACACTCGGACGACGAGGAGGAGGACGAGGAGGAGGAGGAGGAGGAAGAGGAGGAAGAGGAAGGTGGTGGCAGTGGACAGGAGGAGGAGGAGGAGGAGGAAGAGGGTGGCAGTCAGGGAGAAGAGGAAGAGGAGGAGGAGGAAGGGCACAGTGAGCAGGAGGAGGAAGAAGAGGAGGAGGAGGAGGAAGGGCCCAGTGAGCAGGATCAAGAGAGCTCTGAGGAGGAGGAGGGGGAGGAGGGGGAGGCTGGGGGCAAGCAGGGGCCACGGGGAAGCCGAGGCAGCCAGGCAGACCCCCCTCCCCACAGTCACATGGCCACACGGTCCCGGGAGAATGCCCGGCGCCGGAGCACCCCTGAACCTGAGGAAGCTGGGCGGCGGGGTGGGAAACGGCTGAAGCCACCCCCTGGAGTGGCCTCTGCATCAGCCCGAGGGCCGCCAGCCACTGATGGGCTGGGGGCCAAGGTGAAGCTGGAGGAGAAGCAGCACCATCCATGCCAGAAGTGCCCACGAGTTTTCAACAACCGCTGGTACCTGGAGAAACACATGAATGTGACCCACAGCCGCATGCAGATCTGCGACCAGTGCGGCAAGCGCTTCCTGCTGGAGAGCGAGCTGCTGCTGCACAGGCAGACAGACTGCGAGCGCAACATCCAGGTGGGCCTCACGTGGCTGGGGGCAGGGCAGAGGCTGTCCAGGTGGGGCTAGGCCAGAACTGGGCTCTGGGCACCCAGCGCCTAGATGGTCTGTGGAGACCAGACTCAGCCCCCAGACAGGCTGGCCCAGGCCTAGTTCTCAGGGTGGTTAGAGCTCAGGGATTAACATCAAGCCGAGCTCCCTGGGAGAGGTGGATAGAGTTAGGCGCATGAAGAGAGGTGCAGAGGATTGGAACAAACAGTACCCTTGGCCAGAGGGACAAAGGGGACACATGGACTTGGGAGGATGACAGTGGAGAGTTGTCTGAGCATACAAGGCCAGAAGACAGACCACTCTGGGTGGGATGAGTCAGACAGGGTTTTAACAAACACTGGGGCTGCAGGAAGGCCAGCAGGGCCACTGTGTATAGTTTCACAGGTTGTGCACTGCAACAAATGAGCACACGATGGGAGGAGGGGTTTGCCCAGAGGAATGCCATCCTCTACTTCCCACAAAAGTGCTGTATAGAGTAGGGGGCATCCCAGCAGGAGGCAGCCCCCACTTTCAGCTCTTTGGGGATGCCAGCTCTCATGGGCCTGGGGAAAAGGGATTGGGTGAGAAATTTGAGAAGAGCAGAGGCTGCTGGGGCTAAGCAGGGGAGCTGAGCTGGCTGCCGGGCCTTGAGCCAGCCTGAGTCTGTTTGTGCCAGCCTCACTTCTCAGGGTGGGTTGGCACAGGGCCAGCCAGGCTCCCACGGGTGGTTTTCACCTCTTCTGGCCCAGGAGAAGGGGGAAAAGTAGCAGGTAGGTGGGTGCTAATTGCCTGAGCTAATTGCTAATTGCAGTGCCCTGTGGAGAAAGTGTTACCTGGGGGTCACCTGGTGTTCTGCCCCACCCTTGTGTACCTGTGCCCACTTGCCTGCCTCCTGGGCTGTCCTTTGATGCTCTAACTGCTGCACACCTGAGTCTCCCTCCTGAAGGAGAAAGAAGCTTCTGCCCCATCCAATCTGGGCACCCTGACCAATTTCTGCCCAAGCCTTGGCCTAGCTTCCATCCCTGTGGAGTGTCCTGCACAGATGGGCAGGACAATGGTCCAGGAGAACAAGTGGGGAGATATGGTCCACTCTCTTCTTGATGGGACCTTGAGACTCCTGCTGTCCTCCTTAGCCAGTGCCTCTGGGACTCATCCTCTTGAGGATATCCATGGTGTCATGGCACAGGTCCCAGCAGGAGGAGGCAGCAGTGACAGTGGCTCACCCTGTGGGACCTGTTATCTCTATGTGTAGCCTCCATACCAGAGGCGGCCCTTCAGCTAGTTGTCTGCCTTAGCTCTATAGACAGACAAAGGGTGATGCCTTTGGAAGCCCTTGTTGAAATGAGCCCAGAGGGGGGATCTCCTGGAAGAGGTGACCCCTGACCCTAGTTAAGGATGAAGGAAGACACCAGGCTGTGTGTTTGGGGGTGTTTAAGGAGTTTTCATCCCCAACCTTAAGAACATCAGAGCTGGCTGGCTTTTGGCATTAAGGGCCCTCCAACATATTTCAAGTGGGAAAACTGAGGCCAGTGGGGGCAGTAGCTTGCCCAGGTCCAAGGCCCTGGGGACTTAGGACCCAGGGCCTCAAGTCCTCTTACTCTGCAGTGTGTGACGTGCGGCAAAGCTTTCAAGAAGCTTTGGTCCCTCCATGAGCATAACAAGATCGTGCACGGCTACGCTGAGAAGAAGTTCTCATGCGAGATCTGTGAGAAGAAGTTCTACACCATGGCCCACGTGCGTAAGCACATGGTTGGTAAGTCTGGGCCACTGGGGGATGGAGCCGGAGGATAGAGATGGACCAGCTTCTGGCTGGTGGATGGGAAAGACTTCACATCCAAGGGCAATGTGAAGGGGTGAGGAGGCCCCTCTCATCTGGGAGGCCTGGGGAGGTTGGTTGCAGTGGCAGGTGTAGCCTGGATAGGCTCTGGGGCCAGGGCTGGCACATACAGTTGGGCAGGCTGCACACTGCACAAGGGTGCCTGGACAAGATGGCAGGTGGGAACTGGAATCAAGCTGGCACACTGCTAACCAGGCTGTGCATCCTGGCATGAGCTTGTGTCCACCCAGGGAAAGGAATACCTTTTCCTAATTATTACAAAGTGCTGTATGGGCTGGTATAGGCCCTGTGTCAGTTTGATGACAGCTGTGCCTCTGATTCTTTCTTACCTTCTGGTCCTCATAGGGCTTCAGGCCTCTCTGAATGCAGCCTCCCCTCAGGGTTCATGCCTGGACACAGTAAGGAGGTCCCCCAAGTGTGTGTTTTGGCCACTCCACTGCCCCAGGCAAGGCTGCCTACCCGCTGTATGTGGGCCTGGCAGAGTCTCATGTCCCTATAGCCCCGCCTTCCTTGCCCACCCCAAGTCTGGGCCTTGAGGGGGAGGGGTAGCCAAGGCGGACGGTGAGCCCCTGGCCAGGTCCTAATCCCTTTCTCCATGGGACAGTGCTGGGGGCCCTCCAGTGTGAACTGACTGGAAGCTGGGACCCTGCGGCTTAGGTCTCAGCCAGGAGCATGCTGGGTAAACCAGGACTGGTGTCTGTGAGCTTGGAGGGGAGCCTTCTGTCTCCAGTGGCCTCCTACCAGATCCTTATAGTTTGTTGGTCCTCACCTATCCGTGGGTGCTGGGAGGAGTGCAGCTAACTTCCTCCAGACTGCTGGCTAGGGCCTGAGGCCAGGGCCTTTCTGCATATGGTCCCCTATAAAGCCCACCATCCCTGAAGCTCAGGACCACTATGAGTCCCTTTTTATAGAAGAGGAAGCTGAGGCCCAGAGACTGAGCAGGAAGCCAGTGGTCGGGCCAGGATTTGAGCTGAAGCCAGGTCCATCCAGGGTCCTTCCCTGAAGCTTTGGGGGCAAGGCAGCCTTGGCCACTTCAATTGGCCAGAGGCTAAAGAACCACAGAGCCCCGGCATGTCTGAGGCAGACCTTCAGAGCAGATAGGAGACCCAGCCATGGAGGCAGGGGGCCTCTCCTGGGAATCAGCACAGGTCCTGTGACAGGGTACAAGGCCAGCCCCAGGGAAGGGTGGTGGCACAGGGCTGCCCCAGGAGGCAGGGTCTGGGCCCAATGTGGGGGTGCTTGGGCAGGCCCATAAGACATGACGGCCCTGGTGCCCACCTCGTAGCCCACACCAAGGACATGCCCTTCACCTGCGAGACCTGTGGAAAGTCCTTCAAGCGCAGCATGTCCCTCAAGGTGCACTCCCTGCAGCACTCAGGGGAGAAGCCGTTCAGATGTGAGGTGAGCTTCCATCGCCTGCCTGGCCTGCCCGAGGGGCCACCTGGGAGGGGCAGGAATCAGGGAGAGCAGCTGCTGAAAAACAAAGGGCTAGGGGGCGGAATGTAGGGTCCAGAAAGAGAGAGACCCACCCTCTGAGGTCTGCAGCCCCTGCCTCCCACTCCCGCCCAGCCCCTATTCTTCTCTGGCCCACCCCCATCCTGCCCATCCTTCCCCAACCCAGCCCCACACACTCAGGGTGGGAAGTGTGTGTGGGCTGCAGCCCCAGGAACAGGCTTTCTGGGGAGGCGGATTCAGGAGCATCCCAGGCCTGGAGCTCAGAGATGAGACAACAGAGCTGCACGTGGGGAGGTGGGGGCAGGGGCTGGGCTTCTGATCGGGAGGAAGAATGAGGGACCTCATGCCTTAAGCGTGGGGTTCCCTCTACTCTGTGGCTTTTTCCCACTTCCTGACCTCCATTCCCCACCTAAGTCTTGGGTGCTTGTGGCCTCTCCTTGTGCCCATGCACTGCCCACCCGGATGCACCTCGGCTTGCCCTCACGTCCCCATCTCCTTGCCCAGGAGCCCCTGAGTGTGTCCCTCCTTGGCCCTGTGGCCACAGGGGAGCTGTTCCCTCCACAAAGGCTGTTCTTCTGCTCTGTGCCTGGGCCTCACCCCCAAACCCCACCCCCAGAACTGCAATGAGCGCTTCCAGTACAAGTACCAGCTGCGGTCACACATGAGCATCCACATTGGCCACAAGCAGTTCATGTGCCAGTGGTGCGGCAAGGACTTCAACATGAAGCAGTACTTCGATGAGCACATGAAGACCCACACAGGTGCGGCTGCCCTGTGGGACGTGGGTCAGCCTCAGGCCCATGCCGGGCCGGGACCCCTTCTCAGCCCCGCTCAGGACACCTGGAATAATCTTGGCCACACCCCTTCTCAAGTCTGGGCCTCCGTTTACCCATCCTTCCTGCTTCCCAGGGTTGGGTGAGGCTGGCACAAAATGCCCCAGGGTCGGGGAGGATCTGAGCGCCAGGGCTGGGTCTAACTATGGCTCCATGGGAGACAGAGGCTGGCCCCAGACGGGTGTGGCGACCCCTCACTGACGCCCTGCTGCCCATCCCCAACCCCCAGGAGAGAAGCCGTACATCTGCGAGATCTGTGGCAAGAGCTTCACCAGCCGACCCAACATGAAGCGGCACCGGCGCACGCACACGGGCGAGAAACCGTACCCATGCGACGTGTGTGGCCAGCGCTTCCGCTTCTCCAACATGCTCAAGGCCCACAAGGAGAAGTGCTTCCGCGTCAGCCACCCCCTGGCCGGCGACGGCACCTCCGCTGCCCCAGGCCTGCCCCCAACCCAGCCCCAGGCGCACGCACTGCCCCTGCTCCCGGGGCTGCCCCAGACCCTGCCGCCCCCGCCCCACCTGCCGCCCCCGCCTCCGCTCTTCCCCACCACTGCCGGCACGGGCGGGAGGATGAACGCCAACAACTAGCTGCCGAGCTGCACCCGTGCACCCGCTGGGGCCTGGAGCCAGGGCCCACTCCAGGAGGGACCCACTGCCTTTCCGGGGAGCACAGCAGTGCTGGCCTGGGCCCTGCTCCACGTCCAGAAGTGGCTGGATGTGCCCTGCCTGAGGCCCCGACCATGAGGGGTGTGTAGGCTGGCGGCCCCCAGAGCTGGTGGAGGGCACCTCACTACCAAGTGCCCCCACTTTCTGTGACTCCTTGAAGCCTTTACTATTTTTTTTTTTTTTGGAAGTGAAGGAAAAAGAAACTATTTGCAGCACCTGCCTCCAGGTGAGGGGGGTGCTGGGGGTCTGCAGCAGAAAGAAAGGGGCCTGGGCAGCAGGTGTGGCCAGTCCCTCTGCCAAGGCCTGCACCAGAGGGGTTGGCCAGGTGGAGCCTGGGTCAGCCTCAGCAGCCTATCCCCATGTCCCCTATGCCCCTAATTTGCTTCCTCATCTTGGAGGGTTTGGGGAGAAGTTGGTGTGCCACCCCCGCAAACCCTTGAGGAGTTGTAGACCCAGTCTGAGGGTCACAAGCACTGAAGCAGGGCCTGAGACTGGACCCGGGTGAGCGTGGGGAGTGGGGGGTGGCGAGGTGCGAAGACTGCAGACCAGTGCTGCACTGTGTGGAGCAGGGCAGGCAGGGGCTGGACCCCAGGGACTTGCCTTCCCCACTCACTCTGCTGCCAGCAGGCCCAGGGATCCCTGACCTGCACCAGGTGGCACCAAGGGTCCTGAGTCCCAGAGATGTCCCCAGAAGCTGCTGTGCCTCACAGCACTGTGAGCCAGACCCTGGGTGGGCAGACAGACTGACTGGCAGCACCAGCTTCGGGGGCAGAGTTCTAGGATGAGGCTTGGACAGTGTTGGTAGGGTTTCAAGGTGCTATTAGTGGGGCAGGGGCAGGGTGGCTACTCACAGAGCACCGCAGTTCCTCACCAGCTACTCTGGCCATATATCCCACACCAGAAGGAACAAGTGTGGCGGTGTCCATCTCTGCTCCCCCAAAGGCCTGCTCTAGGCCTTATCCTCCCTCTAGACCCTGCCACAACCTGTCCCTGGCTGGCTCCAGCATCCTCGTCCCTCCTGGGCCTCTGCACCAGTGGGTGGGCCGCCCATAGCACTGCTGGTAAAGGAGCCTGCATGTTCAGGCCCCTCGGGGGACTGGGGGGACTGGGGAGGCACAGCGTAGACCCAATTGCTTGCCCCCATGAGGCTAGCACTAATAGGAAACCCTTTTTTGTTGTCATTTAGTGTCTTTATTCCTGCCTTTAATATGGGGAGGAAGGTTCCATAAGCTACATGTTTCCTAGTTAAGCTCTTTCCTATTGTGTTTATACAATTTTGTTTGTTATACTCTTTGCACCTTAAACCCCCACCACTCCCCGATACTATTGCCTTCCCAGCATGGCTGGAGTGGGAAGAGGCTTTGGCCCCGGGGGAATGGTTAGGGGGATTGAACCCCTCTGACCTCCTTGTGAGGCCCATGGCGCTGGGGCAGGGAGCTGGGGACATTTTAATCATCAATAAACGAAGCACTTTATTCTGTACAGATTTGGGCAGGCCTAAGGTGCCCGAGTGATCTGAGGATTTATAATCCAAGCCACACCACCCTGGTTGTTCTCTGGGCTTGGAGGGGACAGTGCCAGCAGCTTCCCTGCCCAATTGATGTTGGAGCTGTAGACATACACTCGGGCGCCCCTGCTGTCCTAGGGGAGAGAAGGTTCACCCCTCCCCAAGGAGGAAGGCTTCCGGTCAGGGCCCCCACCCCAAGGCTGGGGACTCCAGGCCCCTGCTTTACTGTAGCTCTTTTTCTTCCTTGCACTCCTTGATCTTTGGGCTTCCGTGATGTCCTCAGGGTCCCCCCACCTCCCTCCCCGTTGCTATTTCTAACCTCTGGTCCCAGTGCCTGGCAGCTCTTTGGAGCTGGCTCACATTTTCCCAAAAAAAGTTGATCCCTCCCAGTGGGCTATAGGCAGGGACCTCCGTGGGTTTCCAGTCCCCATTACTGGCACCAGGTCTCCCACAGGGGCTGGTGGTGTCATCACCTGCTGGCCCAACTACAGCCTGCGCGGGCCTGAGTGGCCCTGGCCAGGCTGAGACCTGTCGGGCCATACTGACAAGCAGAGGTCAGCAACAGTTGTGGGGATGAAACCCTATCCCGGGACATGGGTTTCCTGTTCTTGTACACTTCCCCTCTGGGATCAGGTGAGGGGTCCAGACAGCTGGCCAGGGACTGGTCAAGACAGTCACGGGAGCTCTAGGTGGGCACAACCAACCCCTCTCCTGGGAGGTCCCTGCCCCACTGGGGATAGGAGCCTGTGTCCCTGGTGCTAAACACTCTTCACCTGGGCCATTGTTGGTGGGGGCTCCTTTCCTGCCAGGCCACAAGGCCAGAAGCAATAATGGCACCTCAGCAGTTCCAGTATGGATAGGGGTTCCTGTTTTACTAGCTTTTACATCTCCTTTTTATTTAAAAAAATATATATGCCCCCAGATGTCAGAATGAGGGGACTGGGGCACCATCCTCACTTCCCAGGGCTGGGGGAAGGGGGCAGGATCATCCCCTCCCAAGGAGATCTGTGGGGGACCCACTGTCCATCTGGACTTCTCAGCCTGAGTTCTTCTCAGTTTGACTAGAACTCAGGCCTGGAGCCTGGGTCTACCAGGCTCCTTGGGGCTCTCTGGTCTCAGGCCAGCTGGGGATGGGTGGCTAGAGTGACGAACTCAAGCCCTGTGGCCACAGTTCTGGGAGCCTTCAACCCTGGCTCATGCTGCTGTAGTCTCCACGGTGCCCTTCACAGAGGGCTTGGTGGTGGCAGAATGGCCATGCCCAGGCGTGTGCTGAGACCACTGACAACTGCTCGTGTATAGGCACCCCACAGCCCCAGAGTGTGGGGCACAGCAGGCATGCGAGTGAGAAGAGTGAAGGGGAATAAAGTCAGTACAACTCATGTCCCTTGGCCCAGCCTCTTCTTTGCACTTGGCCTGCCTTGACTCTTGGACCAGAGCAAGGGGCTGGGCTTTGGGGACTACCCAGAGTCAGGAGCTGAGGCAAGGGCAGCAGTGGGGGATGGGGGATGGGCAAATAGGTGGGTCTTAGGTCAGATGCAGAGGGGCATGAAAGAGGAGAGGTCCTGAAGGTAATGGCTACAAGAGGCCAGGGCCTGTGTAGGTGTGGTTTCCTGTGAGCACCAGGCATGGAGCCACAGGAGCTCCGGGACAGCAGGGACCAGTGCTCCCACTTATGTGCTGAGCCCTGGGGAAGCTGTGATGAGCAGTATGGACTCATCCCTCCCTCAGCGGGCAGGGGAGGTCAGAAGGGGTCAGATAACAGAGATGCTGACTCAGGCACCCGGGAAGACAAAAGCTCAGATAGAAGACAGGTGGTGGCCTCCAGAGGAGCAGATGGCTCTCCCTGGGGAACTCAGAATTGTTTCATGGCACAAGTAGTATATACAGAGAGCACTCACTCCATGCCAAATGGAATTCTAGGCCCCGGGGACACATGCAGAATGAGGCTCCTTATGGCACTTACCTCTGCATACGTAGAAAAGGGTCAGACAGGACCTTCCAGGACTGGGAGGGGCTGGGAGAGAAGTCTCATGGGTGGATTTGTTGACTGGCCAGAAAGGAGGTGCAGGTTCCTAGGACGTTGGCACTGCCTTTCTACACAGTCCTGCAATGAATGGAAGAAACATGGGCTTGCTCAAGAGACCCTGAAACAAGGCTGACTGACAGGCCTGGGGGCCTGGCTGCTCCCCCAAATCTTGTGCGGATTCCACTTATCTCTTGTTTCCAGTCTGTTCACCTTCTGCTATATCAGGTTGCATGACACCTCTTTTTCCTCCAGCCCTCTCCCCACCTCCCTCATTCTCACAGCATTTCCACCTTCACACTCCAGAGTCTTGGGCACTGTCATCCTAGGCTCTGGGGCAGAGGCCTCTGGGTGGCTGTGGGACGGTGGGCACCATGATTGGTGTCTCTGGAGCACTCACTTTCCCTCATTTTGCTCTTTGGGACCAAGCAGCTCGCTAACATCTCATGTCCTGAAGCATGCATGGGTCAGAGCAGCACTGCCCTGCTGGGGAAGGCCGGGTTTTCCTTCCTTCTAAGGATCAATGAGATGGGAGGTGAGGCACCCTGGCTTAGTGGTACTCTTGGGCCTACCTACCCCCTGATTATGTAGCTTTCTAGAACCAGGACTGGTGAATAAGTCAGGTTAGACTGAGTTCTGCTGTGGTAACAAACCACCTCCTAACCTCTGTGACTCAACATCTAGGGCTCTGAGGGGATGCTCCAGGGCAATCATTCTCTATTTGGTGACCCAGAATTCCAGGCTTTGACCTTGGGGCACCTCCATATCAACACGGGCCTCTAGACCGACCAGAGCCAGGGAAAAGACAGGGTGGAGAATCACACCTTGGCTCTTCAGTGCTGCCATCCAGAAGTGGTGTACCACTTCCGTTTCCATGTCATCATCCAAAGCAAGTTCCGGCATCATGCCTTACTTCAGCGGGGTGTCCGGAAGGAGAGGAGAGCTGGAAAGATTGGTGAGTAGCCTCCAGGCACGGTGGCTCACGCCTGTAATCCCAGCATTTTGGGAGGCTGAGGTGAGTGGATCACTTGAGGTCAGGAGTTCAAGACCTGCCTGGCCAACATGGTGAAACCTCATCTCTACTGAAAAAAAAAAAAAAAATTAGCACGCATCTGTAATCCCAGCTACTCAGGAGGCTGAGGCAAAAGGATCGTTAGGATCATTAGAACCCGGGAGGCAGAGGTTGCAGTGAGCTGAGATCATGCCACCGCACTCCAGCCTAGGTGACAGAGCAAGATTCTGTCTCAAAAAAAAAAAAAAAAAAAAATGGTTAGTGAGTAGCCGTATCCTCTCCTACACTTGGGCCTTGCAGTCTCCGGAGGTCAGGTTGAGAGGTATCCAGCCTGTAGAGCTGCTTCCTAAAGTCTCTGGAGGGTCAGCAATAAAATAGAGGAGCAGTGTCTCCTAAAGTTCCACTGGCTGCAGGTGGGATAAACCTGCTATTACCACAGATGATAGCTTGGGACTTGTGGAGAATGGAGAAGAGAATGGGATCCCACACAGGGAACGAAAAGCAGCTCAGCAGGACCCCACCTTGAACTTCCACCTCACTCCTGCCTCTCTCCTGCTAGAGATAGGGCTTCTGGAAACCTCTGTGGCCAAAACTATACCTGTGTACCTGGGGAACTGTGGCCTAAGACTATAACTCTCATGTGCTGGGGACACTTTGTGGTCATTCCTCACCCCACAACCTTCTGAGACTGCTGATAACCTAAGCAAAGGAGCTCAGAGAGGTAAAGCCACTTGCACACAGCCAGAAAGTGGTGGAGCCAGACTCGAACCTAAGTCTGTCTGATCCCAAAGCCACGTTCTCTAAGCGCTGAACAATGCCACTTCCCCTCCATTCAGCACAGTACTTGGTGCACAGTGGCATTCAGGAGAGCATGGCAGTGGGTGATGAACCAGTGCTATTGGTTGCAAACAACAGAGCCAATTAAATCTCTAGGAGAACCAGAGACTCAGCCTCTGGGGTTATGCAGCCAAAAACAAACCCAAACCACCCTGCACCACTTGCCCCGGGGAGGTGTGACTGTCATCCCAGCTTGGAACTGACAATGCTGAAGGCTACTCATAAGAAGCTCTGTCTCGACTGCCCCTCCCACCAAAACTAAACCCCTCTGCCACCCTCAGAGAACACGAGTCTGCAGTATGTGTCCTTCCTTCCCTCTTACCTGAATCAAAGTCTCATGTGGGTGTGTCTAAGTGGCAGATCTGTCACGTTTATGCCCCAGAGATGCACGACAGGAGAGTCCCAAAATTGGGGCTTAGCCTGGGAGAGTTCTTGGCTTCACCTAGGAAAGAATTCAAGGGTGAGCCAGAGGTATTAGCAACTTTTGGTGAAGCGGCAGTGTACAGCAGCAGCAGAGGTACTGGTACTGTGGAACAGCGCTACCCCATAGGCACTGTGCCCAGAATAGCAGCTCAGAGGCAGGACTGCAGTCATACTTATACCCACTTTTACTTACATGCAAATTAAGGGAGGATTATGCAGAAATTTCTAGGAAAAATTTGGTACCTTCCATAGAAAAGGGCAGTAACTTTCAGGTGTTGCCATGGCACTGGTAAACTGACATGGCACACTTGTGGGCATGTCTAATGGAAAGCTGCTTCCTCCACCCCATCCCTGTTCTAGCTAGTTCTCATTAGGTCTGATGTCCAAGCCCCGCCTCCAGAGTTGAGTCCCACCTCCTACCTCACTAGCTGCAAGGGAGGCTGGGGAAGCAAGTTGTGTTTTCTTTTTTTTTTTTTTTGAGACGGAGTCTCGCTCTGCCGCCCAGGCTGGAGTGCAGTGGCCGGATCTTGGCTCACTGCAAGCTCTGCCTCCCGGGTTCACGCCATTCTCCTGCCTCAGCCTCCCGAGTAGCTGGGACTACAGGTGCCCGCCACCTCGCCTGGCTAGTTTTTTGTATTTTTTTTAGTAGAGACGGGGTTTCACCATGTTAGCCAGGATGGTCTCGATCTCCTGACCTCGTGATCCGCCCGCCTCGGCCTCCCAAAGTGCTGGGATTATAGGCTTGAGCCACCGCGCCCGGCCGCAAGTTGTGTTTTCTACACTGGGTAGGCGTACTTCATTCCCAATGAGAAAAAGTCTTTGCAAACATGCTGGGTGGCCACAAAGCATAACAAACATGCCCCACAATCTAGCCGTTCACAGCCCAACAACAGCATACATCCTCTTCCATACAACAGGAACAACAAAATGCTATTGATTAACAACCTTCCTCATAATAAATAAAAACGTTTTCATCCTCTTCCCAAAAGGGGACACTGTAATTTCTCATCACTGACTGCATCTAGCTCCAAATCCAGGATCTGTTGGTAATAGCTGCTCCTTTTCTGTGATCCCATTTGGTGTTCTGAAATGTATGGACTGTATTGTAAATGGAACCATCACCAACCAGGGTCTTTACAAAACAAAAGAGGACTATGAGGAGGAAAAATTAATATATATACATACATCTTTTCCAGTGTGATGGTTAGTTTTAGGTGTACTCTTAAATGAGTGAAGGGACACCCAGATAGCTGGTAAGGCATGATTTTTGGGTGTGTCTGTGAGGGTGTTTTGGGAAGAGATCACCATTTGAATCAGTAGACTGAGTAAAGATGATCCACCCTCATCCAATACGAGTGGGCACCATCCAATCTACTGAGGGCCTGGATAGAACAAAAAGGCAGAAGAAAAAGTGAATTCACTCTCTCTTCTGGAGCCAGGACATCCATCATCTCCTGCCCTCAGACATCAGAACTCCAGGTTCCCCTGCGTTTGGCCTTGGACTGGGAGTTACATCATCACCTCCTCTTGATCTTAGGCCTTCAGATTCAAACTGAATTACATCACCAGCTTTCTTGGGTCTCCAACCTGCAGAGGACAGATTGTGGAACTTTTCGGCCTCCATAATCACATAAGCCAATGCCCGTAATACACCCCCTCTTATATCTCTTTATTCTGTTGATTCTGTTTCTCTACAGAGCCCTGACTTATTAATATACACATCAAGGAAGACAAGACAGGACGGTGTTCCATCCTACTTAGCCACAGATCATGAGGTCAGGATGGTGCTATTGTCTGAATGCTGGTGTTCCCCCCCAACCCCCAAATTCACCTGTTGGAACCTAAAACACGATGCCACAGTATAAAGAGGTGGGGTTTTGGGGGGAGTGATTAAGTCAGGAAGCTCTGCCTCATGAATGGGATTACTGGCCCTTATAGAAGAGGTGGAAGGGAGCTGCCTGCCCTTTCACCATGCAAGGACACTGAGTTGGCTCCTTCTGCCATATGCGGACAATAGAAGGTGCCATCTATGAAGAAGACAAAGCTCTCACCAGATACTGCATCTCCTGGTGCCTTGATCTTGAAC